TATAAGATTATGTCATCCATAAGCAGGAACATGTTAACTTCTTCCTCTCCTATTTTGATGTCTTTAATTTCTTTCTGTTTTCTAATTGCTCTGGCTAGGACTTCCAATAATACATGGAAAAGAAGTGGTAAAAGTGGGTATGTTTGTTTTCTTTCTCATCTTTGAAGAAAAGCTTTTATCTTTTCACCATTGAGAATGATGTTAGCTGTGTCTTTGTCATATGTGCCGTTTGTGTTGTAAACCTCTTTAGTTTAATTGCTTATTACATTTCACCACATATTCATTCAGTCAACCCTGTATTAGTTTACTGACCATGCCAGCAGTTAAACAGAACTGCAGAACTCAGGCGGACTAGATATTCCATACCCCTGTGTACTCTCTGCAAATCTTCACATTCTCTGTTCCAACACTGACACTGAATCGTAAGATCGGTGTTTTTGACTGCTCTTCTGAGAAGCTTCTATAATCTCACCTCCTCCAATTTTCTCATCTTTTCTGAGTTGGTTAAGCATCTTATCTGTGTTTTCTTAAGAAGCTCTTTGTCAGCTGTTACGTAATGTAGTTTAATGATTTAGGAGTAGGGCTCTGGATTCTGAACACTTGAACTTCCATTCCTACTCCCCAGTTACTGTAAACTCTGTTTTCTTTTCACAGGATTATGCTTAATTGCTTAAGTAACTTATGTGTGAATGCTTCCTTTTCCATACAAAAGAGGTTAATATACATTTCACATGGAGTTTTTGTGAAATTTCAGTAATGCACTTGACATGATGGGGTCTCAACATACATTAACCATCATTAGTGAAAGTGTGTCATGGTTAACACTACAGAAGTGGTGTCAAAATAGGATTTGAACCCTAATTCATGTCATTTGGGTCAACTTATTATTTAAATGACTTATAAAATAGATAAAATAATCACTATTCTACTGACTAATGGTGAGGGTCTAGTATACTATTTGTAAAATACTTAGAAGAGAGATTTCTAAATAATAATGATAATTATAAGGACGATTGACACTATTTTATATGGATTCCTTTTTTAATCACAATAACTACATAGGAGATGTTACCTTTATTAAATGCTATTAGGTAACTTCTCTCCTGTTTTGTAACTTCCATGTGTCTTTCTTATAATGGTTGATTCATTATTGACATATGAACTCAAGATAACCTGGAAAATGAGTCTGGTGCTTCTGAGCCAAATATTTTGTTTAATGTCCTGACATATTTTCTTTAGAAAATGTATTTTGTGTTAAAGCTATCTTTTTATCTAGATGAACTGGATAAATATCTTTATAGAGTTAACAGAAAAGAGAGGAGATATCTGGCTTTTCCATATACAACCTGTACAAATGATATCTGTTGTAATGAAATAAAAATGTTATATATTACATATATATTTATAATATGTAACATTTTTCTTTTTTCAGGACTACCTTGTCTTGTGGGGCGGTATCCAGTTTCCAGTTGGCTAAAAAGCTGAGTCCTTGAGTTCATACTGTGCATAGAAATAATTAATAGTAGAGGGTTTATAGTAAGAGATACTCAAACCTAAACCTAAATTCTGTCATTATTAAAGTATGTCTCTTTCTGTATGTATCTTAAGTGCTCTAGCTTCCTAATCATCAGTCTTACCACCTATAAAATGGGGACAATTCCAGTCCTTTGTCATAAGACTGTGTAAGACTAGAAGCAATGTAATGCCAGGCATCACATGCCAACAACTTCCAAGATATTAGGTCTCATTCAGAACTCTCTCCTCTGAGCTCCAGATTCATTTAGCTGTAGCAGCATATTCAACAATTTCACTACAGTGTTTCACCAGCATCACAAAATGAACACAGCTAAAATTAAACACTTTGTTTTCCGGAACAAACCTGTTCCACTTTTCACCCTTTTCCATTTAAGTGAAAAGAACTAAAATGAACCAAGTTTTTGCCACCAGAATGTAACTGGTTTCTTCACCAGTTAATAGGAGTAATTAATAGAGATCCTGACACATAGCAGATACCTCATTAATATGGGATGAATAAGCAGATAATGTATATGTATGCAATAAAGAGTAGTTTTTCTAAATATTATTAGGAAATTGGAATTACCCAGTGCTTACTCATTTCTGTGCATTTCAAAAATATGATCAGGAGAACTCCTATAAAATGTTTAAATTTTATAACTTTTCAAAACTTTTGACCCAGATTAAATCATGAGTATTATTAGAGCCTGAATGTTCTCTGATCCACGTTTTTCAGGGATAGACATAATTTTCCATTGACTTTACGCTGAAATCCGCCATCCTGAACTACCTAGAGTTTACCAATAATTACATATGATTATGAATACAAAGCCACATAAATTATTCAAACCTCACTATACAAAACCAACTTTCTCAAAAAGCCTTCCTCCATGGGGAAGATGGTTTCTCTCAGCAGCAAGCACATGCTAGCATATTTGTCCAAAATTTTAGGCCAGGCTGCATTCTTATTAGTATTTATACTGGTCCTTTGCTGGTATTTTGCTTTTTCTCAAACCTGGGATGGTATGGGAAAATAAAATCTAGATTTTAAAAAGGCAGAGATAATGGAACAAATAGTAAACGCATTTGTAGCAATAAGGGCTTCAAAACGATTTTAGCAATCCCAGATATATACAGTGCTCATATGTAATGAGCACTAAATTCTAACTGAAATAACGTATCTGATTGCAAAGCTGTGGCAGGAAGGAGGCAGCTGCAGATCCCTGCAGGAGGGGTCCAGTGAATCTCTGACCTCTATCTGCATTTGGATTCTCCCGAGTGATGGGTCCCAGGACACTTTGGGTACACTAGCCCAGCAGACCAGGAAGCTGGTTAACAGGGCTATTACAAGAGGTATGGGCCTTGCTCAGGTCTTGGTATATGGTTATCATTCTGAGGGTTTCCAGCAGAGCACTGGATTATGAAGTGCAGGATAAGAAGAATCCACGTTTTTTGTTTGTCACTTTTTTTTTTTTTTTTTTTTGAGACAGAGTTTCGCTCTTGTTACCCAGGCTGGAGTGCAATGGCGTGATCTCGGCTCACCGCAACCTCCACCTCCTGGGTTCAGGCAATTCTCTTGCCTCAGCCTCCTGAGTAGCTGGGATTACAGGCACGCGCCACCATGCCCAGCTAATTTTTTGTATTTTTTTTTTAGTAGAGACGGGGTTTCACCATGTTGACCGGGATGGTCTCGATCTCTTGACCTCGTGATCCACCCGCCTTGGCCTCCCAAAGTGCTGGGATTACAGGCGTGAGCCACAGCGCCCGGCCTGTTTGTCACATTTAACAAACCAATATAATAAATTAATACAGATATATAATATAAAGATATTATATGCATGTAATGCAGTATATATAAATCACAGTGCCAAGAGTGTGATTTAGTCAGAGATAGCCATGTAAATCCCTACCTGCCATGGCAATTGTTTGACCCTGTACCACTCCCTTTCTTTTTGCATCAATGTAAGAGATGCCAGAGCAGATTCCTGAGGGATTTCTATTTCATCAGATAACAGATACGACTCAAATTGAAATTTTTATCTAAACTCCCGATTTCCGCATTTCTTTCTGTTGCACTGCGGGGCTAATAGATACTCTCTCGGGCAGCAGACTGCACTATAATATTTATAATTTTGTAATAAAATCATCTTTTTAATGATAGATAATTTTACTATTGAATATAAGATAGAAATTCTAATTTCTAATTTTACCTGCAAACACTTTATATACACATGGAAACATATAGTCATTAGGAGGTAACTATTAACTTAGGAAGTTCTCCAAACCTGTGAACAGGAAAACATGTCCTCAGACCAGGAATATGTCAGGACTCTGAATGTCTTCACATTGGCAAAATTTTCTGAAATGAGAAGGTAAAGCATATCACTGTTTAATCTATGAAAAAATATATGCTTAGAAGGTTTGATTTCCTTACATTCTATTACAACTTGCTGCACCCCCAGAAATCAGGATTTTATCATACACTTTAGCAAGATATTTTAAAATATCATTACATTTGAATGGAAACAAATGATCAAAATAGAAAAATATGCATGACATGTAACAAAACAATATAAATTGTGTATAGGATGACATTACCTTACTCAGAGTTCCTCTTCTTGACTGGGTCATGTAACCAAATAGAAATATTACGCCTGTCCATTTCTTTCATAAAAAGAAATCTTGTTATTAGATCTCAGCAAACTTTTCTTCTAACTTGTATATATAAATTCCTTTTTCTTTTCCAGAAGGTCTCGTAAGCTCCCAGGTTCTTGTACAATAACAGTCAAAAGAGATTAATACATTTCACAAAAGATAGATCAGAATGATTATTAAAAACTTAGCCCAAAGAGATGGATTATTTCCTCACATTATGAAACACAAGGTGTTGTGTTTTCAACTAGTGTTGGTTGCTCAGCACTTTGGAGGCAAGATGTTCAGATTTACATCAGAATCTCATACAAAGGTTTCTCCCTTTGACCTTGGACTCAGTACCATTGTCACTAGACAGCATTTCTTCATTGAATAGGAGATTTTACAATTTGTTAAAAGATATCTGAAGCCTGTTTATTCTAGAAAAGGTAATAATTCACATAAAGTTTGCTTTAAAAATACCAAGATGGTACAGAAAGTAAGTGTTTAATGTGAGGTGTTTGGTGTATATATGTGTCTGTATGTGGTATGGACTAGGAGGCGACTATTACTCCAAAATGGGATGTTACCCTATTTGTGGGCACATGTACCTATTAAGTACTTAACTTGTGGTTAGTGATGCATGTTGATATGATAATACTTTGTATATATTATAATAAATATATTATTAAAATTAATTTTACCTTTCGTAAATGTAGTAAAAAATTTAACATTGCACGTGGAACTCATGTTGTATTTCAGATAGACAGCACTCTGAACAGGTGTTTATTTAGTACACTCTTGCCTAGACATAGTAGAAAGTCCACATGGATAAATGAGCACACTACGGTAAAAACACAGAAAAAAAATCAAACTTTTTCTGAATACAAAAAGGCCAAATGTAACCCAAAATCATTAAGATTTTTTTCTCCAGAATGATCAGAATCTATGATTGCTTTATTTTATTTTATTTTTTGGTGGGTGGCAGGGGTCTGCTTTCTTTATCAGAAAATTCCTTTTTCTTTCAGAGTAACAATACAGTTCCTTAAGCTGAAAGTAAGTACAGCTATAATCCCTAGTGCCAAGCAGTCCTTTTCCTAGGATCTCTCTCTCTCTCTCTCTCTCTCTCTCAACCTTCTTAGGTGATAAACTGGGTCACAGAGGCATGAGCCATAATTTATAATTTGCGATACCCCATAGCTGAGTCAGCTTCTTCTCAGATTCTCTCAGATTCTTCTGAGTCCGCAGAATCTACAAATACTCCCAAGCTTTGTCTGTATGGAGAATTCCTGAGACTGTAAAGGAAAACCTGGAGAGGTGCTGTGCTGTCTGTATGAAATGGACAAAAGGAGAGAAACAATCGCTTTCATTAAATGCACTATTTTTTTTTAGTGGGGTCTTGCTCTCTTGCCCAGCCTGGAGTGCCAAGATATGATCATAGCTGACTGCTATCTTGAATTCCTGGGCTCAAGATATTCTCCAGCCTCAGCCTCCCAAGTAGCTAGGACCACAGATGCACCCCTGTGTGTGCATGGCTGACTGTTTTAATTCTTTCAGAGACAAAGACCCACCATGTTGCCCAGACTGATCTCTAAATCCAGGCTTCATGAAACCCACTGAGATTACAGGCTGGAGCCACAGTGACAGCCATAAATGCACAAATATTTAAAGCACTCGGTGGCTGGAGTGGAGATAGTGGTAACCTTTACCACAGATGCTATCAGCAAGAAAGGGTTCACATGGCTTCAAACAGATACCAGTGCTCATTGAAACCATGATAAAATGTAGATGCATTATTTCCTTATTGATTGATTCTCATATCTATTTGAGATTTACTACAATTTCCACTATAGCCACAGAATACAATTAGTTGTAAAATAACATAGTTAAGAAGTAACTGCTTGTACTCTTGTTGAAAAACCTATATATGAAGCATATTTGAAAATAGAATTAAAGCTTTAAAAACATTGTAAGTTGATGTTTTCAAAATAGTATCACTGTAATCATAGTATGGAAGGCAAAGAAGCTTTGATACATTCATTTTTACTGGAGCCAAGGGCATCTCTTGGTTTTTATGAAATTAGATTCGAACTTGAATATAAGAAATGTTTGAGTAGGTATAGAAGAAAAAGAAGAAGAAAGGGGGTAGGAGTTATTCTAGTTTCCTTAAGTTTCTTGAGCAATCATTCCAGATATGTCCTGGTTCTTGCTCTGGGCTCTTGAAAGAGGGGCAGGCAGTGTGTTTTGACAGAGGTTAGCTAGAAGAGGTCTTAAAAAAGCAAAATTGTGAGGCATATGGAAGTTGAAAAGAGACTCAGGTAATCCTCATCACTTCCTCTCCACCTCCTGCAGATCTACCCAATAAAAAGGAGAAAGGGCCGCAGACGCCTGGCTCTCACCATATGCAATATGAAAGTTTGACCATCTGCCTCCAAGGAATGAGGCTCACTTTGACATCACAAGAATGAAAGGGTTGCTTCAGGGCCTCGGCTACCTCTGCCCCATACTTGTTATTAGATGTCTGATTATATGTGCAATTAACTTAGCTATGAAGTTCTATCAGTGAGGAGAGTTAATCCTAGACATTTTGTAATGCAGCAAGAATTATATGACATGATATATGCAGAAAACTAGTCTTCGTTCTTTTCATATGTAAAGTGCTCAACAGAGATGATGATGGCAACAATGGTAGTGGTGGTGAAGATGATGATGATGACACAGTTTGGTTGACCACGAAGTTGGAGGAGTCAGGGACTTGAGTGTAGGTATTATTTGGAAAGAATTTCCAAGAAACGGAAGTGAGGGAGTGGGGAAGGGAGATGAAAGGAAGATAATCTCCCCAAAAGTTGCATTGATGAATTTATTACTGCTCTGAGAAACTGGGTTTCAATCTTTGTTAGAGATCTTCTACAATTATGTAGATTCAACCTTACTAGAAGATGGGAAATTAGCGACATTCATCAACTGACTAATGCCATTCTTTGTTTGAAATTAGCCCCCAGGAGCTGGTTCTCCCACTCCCAGAATTCTTGACCCACATATGAACAGCTAAACAGCCCTCAGTCTTGATGAATATCTCCAATTTTCAAAGCAGAAAGAACCTGAGGCACAGTGGCTTGTTGTGTGACCACCACCACAGCAGAACTAAGGTCAGGCAGGCTGAAGTGGTGTGTCATGTGACAACAATGACTTTTCTCAGCTACACACTGAAAACTAACATCACATACTACATGACTTATGAAACTTAGGTTGCATTATTTATCCATTAAATTTCCTTTCTTCTGTTAATCAATATAGTTGTTAGATTGTTTTACCCTCCCTTCTCCCTTGAAATGGAGACATTGAGTCACTTTTTTGAAATCCTTGTGGAAATATGCTGTTGCTTTATCTTATGAAAAATTTTCCCTCATTTAACTTACATTTTTCTAGCATTACAGACACATGAAGAATCAGAGATAATAGGTAACATTAATATATTTCTGCTGTTCAATCGGTATTGTTGGTTTTCAGACATTAAATTTAATACAACAATTTCTCCAAGGCAGGCAGCTGACAGATAGGGAAATGAGATTCAAAGTGAATTATCGTACAAATCATTACATCAGCATAAAGTGGTAAGATTAAAACTAGTTTTGATAATAATCTTAATAAGATTTACTGACTTCAAGTCTGATCTCAGCTCTCCCAGGCAGAGGCCACAAATACAGACACCATATATGCTTGGTAGAGAACATACAGTAAGTTAATCAGATTAGGTGAACACAGGAAAACTCAGAAGGAATCATGAATGCGTCATCATGGCTCAGTACCAGGTAATTCTTTCCATCTTGAAATTCAAGGAACAGAGGCCTGAAATGCAACATATTCAAAATCTTAGAGTTTTTCACCTCTGATAAATCATTCAATGTCAAGATAAATCACACCTCTGAGAGCCAAGGAAATATCACTGGACTCAATGGATTCTGTGGGTCACCAGTTTTTACATCTGTTCCAGCACTCGTAGTCGTTCCATTACCGGATCATGGATCCATGAGGTGAGACTGCTCTCTACTCCATGGGTACGTAATCAGTCTCTCTGAGACTCTGTTTTCCCATCTGCAAAACGGAACTGATAATGCCTGTATTTATCCTAGGGCTGCCATGAAAAATCACTACAAACAGGGAGGTTTAAATGGAAATCCATTTTCTCACACTGCCAGAGGCGAGAAGCCGGAAATCAAGGTGTGAGTAGAGTAAGACGGTGACCTCCCTCTTCCTGTTGGTTGTCTCCAGCAATCTTGGTGTTCCCTGCTGGCAGCTACATCACTCAGTTCTTGGGTTTCGTGATTATCTTGCTTCCTTCCTGCTGCGTGTCTGTGTCTTCACATGTTGCTGTCCCTGTGAGCCTCTTTTCTTTGATAAGAACATGAGTTATGCTGGATGATTGCCCTACACCAATTCAAAATAACTTCATTGTAACTGATTACATTTGCAAGGACTGTATTTCCTAATAAGAGCACATTCTGAGTTACTGGGGTGGCAGAGAGAGGACTTGAATATGTTTTTATGGTACACAATACAACAATTCAAGAAAATAATGAAAGAGATTGTGGATATGGCAAAAAAAAGTGAAGATTTTTAAGACATGAATCTTATAAAATTCAAGAGCTAATTGCACATTAGGGAAATTAACCGAAGACAGCTTGATAGAGATGAGTGCGTCTGAACCAGCTCCAAACGGTGAGGAAAACGTAGAAGAAGCAGTGCCAGAGCACAAACTGGCATTATAATTTGGCAGAAGGATTCTGATTATTCAAGGCAGATTATAGCCTGTTTTACAACAAAGACCGTTCTATGATATGAGCACTGAAACCAAAGGAAATGGTGAAAGATTGATACTGTTTAGAAACATAATTTAGGGAGATGAAAAAGCAAAAAAGTCAGACAGAAATAACTTCGTATTTCCACAAAGATATCCTTAGTATGCCTGCTTCTCCTGCTTTCTGTTCCACCTCTTCTTCTTTTTCTGCCTCTGCAACCCAGGAGACCGCGAGTCTAAGCCATCCCTCTCTTCAGACTACTCAATGTGAAGACGATGAGGACGAAGACCTTATGATGGATGGGGCCGGCTTGGTGGCTCACGCCTATAATCCCAGCACTTTGGGAGGCCGAGGAGGGCGGATCACGAGGTCAAGGGATTGAGACCATTCTGGCCAACATGGTGAAATCCCGTCTCTACTAAAAAACAAAAATTAGCTGGGCGTGGTGGTGCACGTCTGTAGTCCCAGCTACTCAGGACGTGGAGGTTGCGGTGAGCCGAGATCACGTAACTGCAGTCCAGCCTGGCGCCTAGCAACAGAGCAAGACTCTGTCAAAAACAAACAAACAAACAAACAAACAAACAAACAAACAAACAAAAACCTTATGATGGACCATTTCTACTTAATCAATTGTAGATATATTTTCTCTCTCTTAGTATTTTCTTAATAACATTTTATTTACTTTAGTTTACTCTACATTAGAGCATATAATGCATATAACACACACAATATCTGTTAATCAGTGGTTTTTGTTATTGGTGAGGCTTCCCTTCAACAGCAGGCCATTAGTAGTTAAGTTTGGGGAGAGTCAACAGTTATATGCAGATTTTTAACAGTGTGTGTGAGGGTCAGCACCTCTAAGCATTGCATTGTTCAAAGGTCAACTGTACCTTTATTTTCCAGATCCTTTACATTTTTACAGACTTTGTGTGTCTGCCTTTTAATCTGTCCATTACTAAATATAACTAATTTTTCATATTTATACATGCTCCATTTTTAATGTTTCTCTAATTATTTCTTTTTATAGAATAGCTACTTTTTGCTCCCTTTATTTAATTCCTTCATACACTTTCATTGTATATTTTATATTTGATTGGTCCAACATCTGAATGCCCTTCAAGATCTAAGTTTATAGTCTCTTGTTTCTGCTGATATACCCTCATAGCGGCTTCCTTTCCAGTGTATTTATATACTTTGTCTGTCAGTGTAGTTCATATTTCGAGTGGGCTGAAGGAGAAGAATGGCTTCTGCTTCTGCTGCTAGGCAACACACCACATCCAAGACCATGTCTGTCCATTCTCAGAGGTTTGGCTCTATCTGGTTCCAAGATGAGCCTTTCTAACTCGTGTAGGTTTTATGCATCAGTTGTTATCTGTACTGCTGCTAAAGAAATCTGACACAAGGAAACCACACACCTCCTGGCTTCCTGCCTGTCCAGGCAAGCTCTTTACTGCTTCATCCTAACTCCTTCCTACTCTTCTGCAGCTTCTTTCTGTAGTCAGCCCCAACTCCCAGACATTCTTACCCCTTCCCTGTCACCAACACTCAGGCCACTCAGGGCCCAGCTCCTGGTTCATATGTGACAAGCAACGCCTCAAAGAACATGCCCTATTAAATTCTGGATGTTGTGGAGCATGGAGTCTCAAGGGCGAGGCTCAGGATGAGATTTTGATTTTGTAATCTGGGGTTAGTCCAAGCACCAATATTTTTAAATGGTTCCACTAGCGGAACCAATACAGATGAAGCATCTATCGCAGGGCCTGGGCCTGGTTAAACACTCGATATGAAATAGTTACTTTAGAAGCATGTTAACATGACTCTCCTACCTAGAAAGCTGCCATGGTTTCCTGTTGCCCATCTGACCAGTTTAAATACGTTTCTGAGGCTGATGGTTATAAATTGTCATAGTCTAGATGCTTTTAACTCAGAATTTATTTTTCACTGACACAAACAAGCACTTTTTGTCTGCTTATCTATTTCAGATTTCCCAGCGTAGTGCCCAGCTGGAAAGAAGCGCACCTCACAGAGCAATAATGAGTGAGGAGGTGGGCTGGCTTCTCACCCAGTTCTTCAACATGTGCTTACCAAGGCTTTGAAACAACTTCTTACCTGGTCTTCCTATTCATAAAATAAAATTAATTCTTCCTTAACATACTGAAATGAAGCATAGGAAAAATATAGAAGTACCTAATGAAACAGTACATTTCAACGTGACCATGCTTCTGGGCTATAGATCATGACTATCATAAATGAGAGATAGTGTGGCATGCCCTCTACACCTGGCATCACATCCTAGAAGGTAAGAATGATTACGATGCCTCTCCTATACGTGAGAACACAGAGGCTGAGAGATATTAAATAACTTATCCGAAATCTACAGCTCATGAACAGAAGTTGATCTTGGTACTCTCAGTGTGGACTTTGGTATCTAAGTTGTATTACTTAAAATGTCCTGTAGTCCAAAAATATAAATAGGAAGATGAGTAGGAAAAACTGTAAGGGTATATGATGTTCTAAGGCTTGGAAATAGGACAGCCAAAACCCAAGCACAGGAATTTTCTATCTTCTATGTCAGAGATTCTTAAAGTACCTACTCTGTTATTAAAAGTATTATGACAAACCCACAGCCAATATCATAATGAATGGGCAAAAATTGGAAGAATTCCCTTTGAAATTTGGCACTAGGCAAGGATGCCCTCTCTCACCACTCCTATTCAATATAGTATCGGAAGTTCTAGCCAGAGCAATCAGGCAAGAAAAGGAAATAAAAGTATTCAATTAGGAAATGAGGGAATCAAATTGTCTCTATTTGCAGATGATATGACTGTATATGAGACCCCATCCTCTCAGCCCAAAATCTCCTGAAACTGATAAGCAACTTCAGCAAAGTCTCAGGATATAAGACCAATGTGCAAAAATCACAAGCATTCCTATATACCAATAACAGACTTAAAGAGAGCCAAATCAAGAATGAACTCCCATTCACAATTGCTACAAAGAGAATAAAATACCTAGGAATACAACTAACAAAGGATGTAAAGGACCTCCTAAAGGAGAACTACAAACCACTGCTCAAGGAAATAAGAGACGGCACAAACAGATGGAAAAACAATCCATGTTCATGGTTAGGAAGAATCAATATCATGAAAATGGCCATACTGCCCAAAGTAATTTATAGATTCAATGTTATCCCCATCAAGTTACCAATGACATCCTTCACAGAACTGGAAAAAAAATCTTAAACTTCATATGGAACAAGAAGAGAGCCCACATAGCCAAGACAATCCTAAGCAAGAAGAACAAAGCTGGAGACATCACACTACCTGACTTAATACTGTACTACAAGGCTACAGTAATCAAAGCAGCATGGTACTGGTGCCAAAACAGAGATATAGACCAATGGAACAGAAAAGAGGCCTCGGAGGCAATGCTACACATCTACAACCATCTGATATTTGACAAACCTGATAAAATCAAGCAATGGGGAAAGGATTCCCTGTTTAATAAATGGTGTTGGGAAAACTGGCTAGCAGTGTGAAGAAAGCAGAAACTGGACTCCTTTCTGATACCTTACACTAAAATTAACTCCAGATGGATTAAAGACTTAAACATAGGACTTAACACCATAAAAATCCTGGAGAACAAATAGACAAAACCATTCAGGACATAGGCATAGGCAAAGACTTCATGACTAAAACACCAAAAGCTTTGGCAACAAAAGCCAAAATAGACAAATGGGATCTGATTAAACTCCAGAGCTTCTGTACAGCAAAATAAACAATCATTAAGGTGAACCAGCAACCAAAAGAATGGGAAAAAATTTTTGCAATCTACCCATCTGACAAAGGGCTAATATCCAGAATCTACAAAGAATTAAAACAGATTTACAAGAAAAAAACAAACAAACCCATTCAAAAGTGGGCGAAGGACATGAATAGTCATTTTTCAAAAGAAGACATTTATGAGGCCAACAAACATATGAAAAAATGCTCATCATCACTGGTAATTAGAGAAATGCAAATCAAAACCACATTTAGAGACCATTTCACACCGGTTAGAATGGCAATCATCAAAAATTTGGAGACAGATGCTGGAGAGGATGTGAAGAAATAGGAACACGTTTACACTGTTGGCCGGAGTGTAAATTAGTTCAACCATGTGGAACACAGTGTGGGGATTCCTCAAGAACCTAGAAATAGAAATACCATTTGACCCAGCAATCCCATTACTGGGTATATATCCAGAGGATTACAAATAGTTCTATTATAAAGACATATGCACATGTTATGTTCATTGTGGCACTGTTTACAATAGCAAAGATGAGGAACCAACCCAAATGCCCATCAGTGATAGACTGGGCATGAAAAATGTGGCACATATACACTGTAGAATACTATGCAGCCATAAAAAATGATGAATGTGTGTCCTCTGTAGGGGCATGGATGAATCTTGAAACCATCATTCTCAGCAAACTGACACAAGAACAGAAAATGAAACACAGCATGTTCTCACTCATATGCGGTTGTTGAACAAAAAGAACACATGGACACAGGGAGGGGAGCATCACACACTGGGGTATGGTGTGGGAGGCAAGGGGAGGGACAGTGGGAAGTGGGGAGGTTGGAGAGGGATAATATGGGAAGAAATGCTAGATATAGGTGACAGGGGGATGGAGGCAGCAAACCAACTTGCCATGTATGTACCTGTGCAACAACCCTGCATGATCTGCACATGTACCCCAGAATGTAAAGTACAATTTTAAGAGAAGATTAAATAAATAAATAAAATAAAAAGTATTATTGCATCCCAGATTTCACACTGATAGAAGGTGTTTTAAATCATTAAGCATGTTTTAAATATTACTGATGGAAGAATTTCTACATTCATTTATTTTAAGATAATATTACTTATGTAATGCTATTTTCCAGGTACATATTTCTGTCAATACATTGGTTCCTATAAATTATCTCCATTCTGTCTACATAACCGTCCAACTTGGGTGGCAGGTAATTACATTTCAGTCACTATAAGGACTTCCTCTTACCAGAATTATGACAAATTTGTGGAGGCTTAAGTGTGTCCTGAAATCAAGAAAAAAATATCCTTTCCAAATAAGTCTATTATTACTGCCACTGGCCTTTATCATTTCAAAATTTTAATGTTATTTTAGTATAATTTACATCAAAAAAGTACCCCTTTTAGGAACACAAATTGTTTGTTGATGATATGAGGATATTACATATAGTAACATCCCAATGAATAAGAAAGCAATTTGTCATCCAGCGAGTTTTGTCACGCCCTTTCTTCTCAACTCTTTCCACTTTCTCCTCAGATGATTAGGGATTGAATTTTTATCACTTTGTGTTAGCTTTTTAAAATCTAGGACTTAAATTGGAATCATAGGGCATGAGTTCCCTCCTATGTGGCTTCTTTCAGTCATCATAAAAGCATAATTTTTTCATTCATGGTATGGCATGTATTAGTAATTTTTCCCTTTTAAGACTGAAGAGCATTTCAGTGTATCCTGTAGTACAAGTTGTTAGTTTATGCTCCCGAATTGGATACTGCTTTGTTTCCAGTTTTTGACATCTTCCTTTTTGAGGATAGAGTGGCCCCTTGCAGTCTAGTGGCTCAGTGTTTAGATGCCCAGGACATGAGACTCAAGTTTCCTGGTTCTACATTCCCAGATACATGGTCTAATCATGGTTTCTGTTGCCACTCCGACATGCTTCAAATCAGTGGTTCATGACTCTGGCCAGGGGGAAAACCCTTGTATTAAATCCTTAAGTAACAGAAAATAAATGAATCAGTACATACATTTAAAAGTAACTAAACTGAAGAGACATGACGCAGAGGCAATTTCTGGTTTGTTACATGCTCCAAATTCCAGTAGCAAGGAGCACGAGATTTATTTTGCTGCAATCGGATTAGGTCATTGGCAAAGGAAAGATAAAAACACCATGAAAAAAGCCTTAGATGAAAAGCCACATCATTGTCCTCCTACACGGTCAGTTCTACTCTCACCAAACACGTTAACTCTCAGCCTAGAGCACAGGAAGTAAAACTGGTAGCCCACATGTCGAAAGGTGAATATTTTCATAAATCCGGTTGTTATCCTGCAAAAATAATAATGTAACAGCCCAAGAAGATTTTTGGTTAAACAAAAATTGATAAACAATGTACTATGTGCATTTTGCTATTAGTCCATCTTCCATCAAGTTTATTCATAAAATAAATTAGCCACATTGAGTTCATTTCTGGGACGATCAATTGAGCATGTACTTACAAAGCCAGAGACCTCTTCTTGCCTTCCCTGGTTCCTCTGTGCAGTGTTCATGAGCCATGTAATATTTTGCCTCCCATTTCTCCAGTTAATTTCTCATTCTTCTAATCAGTTGGTGTATTTTAACATTCTAAATATTCCAGTTACATATTACATACCAAGCTTCATTCTTGTCTTCCTCTCTAGAATGTGAGAGCAAGGGGGAAAGGACCGCGATGTGTTTTGACTGAACCACTGACACCTAGACCCATGCTCTCCACATATGTTTGCTAAATTCATGACTAGATGCACTGCTTGAGGATTCTAACGGAAGATAAACTTAGCTAGATAATCTGCAAATAATCATCCTTGATTATTTTTCTAAAATGTAGTATTTGTATTAATTATAGTAATATCCCTCATTACGAGCTTATCATTTGCCAGGTAATGTTCCATGCATTTTCACATTTAACTCAATGTTGCTCAAAACCGTGTAGGTGTATGTATGTACTACCAATATCATCATTTTACAGACAGAGGAACCTATGCATAAAGAAGTTCAGTGTTTTGCCTAGAAAGGGATGTTTTAACATGTAGGTTCAACATTCTGAGTTCAGGGACTATGCTGTGATGCAATGTTTCTAAAAAGCAAGGCATCCAAGATGAGTGGATGGTTCACGCCTACAATCCCAGCACTTTGTGAGACCAAGTTGGGTGGATCATTTGAGCAGAATTCACAATCAGCCTAGGAAACAGAGGGAGAGTCCATCTCAACAGAAAATACAAAAATTAACCAGTGGTGATGGCGCTTGCCTGTAGTTTTAGCTACTCAGGAAACTGATGTGGGAGAATCATCTCAGCTTGGGGAGGTGGAGGCTGCAGTGAGCCACGGTCATGCCACTGTGCTCCAGCCTGGGTGAAGAGTGACATCCTGTATTGGAAAACAAAACAACAAAAACATCCATCTGGAAAGGAAGAACATTAAATAAGAAGTTTTAATTTTGGTGAAAAATGTTTCCATTTCTTAAAGCAAAATGGTTTCACCACGACATTCATTTCCCAGAACTTTCCCCAAAGCTGTGAGGTGGGGTCAGGGAATAGTGGTTCAAATTCTCCAACAGTTGTGTTAATTTTTCTGGTCGAGTTTTAGAATGAATGGGAAACTCTTCACTGTGTGAGTTTCATCACACACACTTTCTCAATCCTGTCTTATCTTCTAAGCCCCATTCCCCTCCTACCCTGATCTATTCCAAGGGCTGGTGTAAAAATATTCCCATGGATACACTCCTTGTGCAGGCTACAGTTCTGATACTTTCTCTAGGGAAAAAAAAAATAAAGACATGCATATGTATGTGCTGTGGTTGTTTCCCAATGTGTGTACACACCCCTGCCAAAAAGGAAGGTGACGCATACTTTCAGTTTCAGCCCACACAAGAAAGGTAGGAGAGAAAAGACATGGCTGGTGAGTTTTTCACTGTTCCAAGAACAGGTCCCTGGGAAGAAAGAGTTTTGGAAGGGGCTGGCTCTTCTGGAAGCCATAATTAGTATCTGTGGAAGTTTAGGTGAGCCGAAGTGAGGGAGAGGGAGAACAGGGAGGAGAGAAAGAACTAGAAGACTCTCGCAGCCTTTAGAAAGGAAAAACAAGCCCAGAAAGGAACCGAGGCTTTAGGGGTTGCCTGCTGTCATTTTGCAATCTTAATTAAATTCTTACATGTCGTAAGTCTAATAGGGGGTACAGAATTGGCACAGGAAGAGTACTAGCAGATGTTCTTCCTAAATGAAATGGGCTATTTCTGTTTCATTACTTTATTATTTAGAGTTAAATAAACATGGGACACAAAAGGATGGTCTCTGCTTTCCAGGGACTAACCTGAGAATGGTAAACTCAGTCTTCAGTCCACTCCATGCACACGTACAGGGACTATTGAGGGAAACAAGTAGGATAGTAATACAGTAAGAAGAGGGATTACCCTACTGTGAGGAGGGGGACATCTTCCTGATAAAATCTCAATGAGGTCACTTTCTGTTGATGACATGAGAGGAATATGAGGCTGTTCTTATGACGTGAATTATCTTTGTGTCCTGAACAGACAAGATCCTGAAGGAGAAGAGAAAGTTTTTTATCCGTTCAGTGGGTGAAGGTACAATAAATGGCTTACTGGATGAATTGCTAGAGAAAAGGGTGCTGAACGAGGAAGAGATGGAGAAAGTAAAACGTGAAAACGCCACAGTCATGGATAAAGCCCGAGCTTTGTTTGACTCTGTTATTCGGAAAGGGGCTCAGGCATGCCACATTTTCATCATATACATTTGTGAAGAGGATCATCACCTGGCAGGAACGCTGGGACTCTCAGAGGTAAGGATCAGTGACTCACACTCAGGATCACGCAGGGCCTGCCTTTGGGACTGTCATTTTGCAAGCTTAATTAAACTCAACATGTGAGTTAAGAGTTAAAAATTCAAATATGTCTGCAGAATAACTTCTTATCTCTGGCGTCCAGGCCATATTTCTGTAACGGGGCCCTACTGCGTGTTTCTTGAGTCTCTTTTGTTTCTGTTTCTTCAGCTTCGGTGGCCCTCTTCTGATTAAAGCTCATTTCCTGTTCTGAGCGTCTTGTAGTTCATTTGCTGAAGCCCATGAGAACCGTCTAAAAAGCTTCACATTCTGTGTTCCAGTGATCCTGGCAAGGCACAGTATTGATGGACTGATTTATTATTTTTGAGTCCAGGCTGTCCCTACGCACTTATGAGCTTTAGGGTCTGTGATCGAATACTTTTTTATAACTTCTCTTAAAAATGTTGCCCTCCAAGGAGAATAAAATATATTTAACTGATGCTGATACACTCAGAGAATACATCCAATAATTACAGAAAAGTAAACATTTCAGTGGGCTCTTTCCTCCAGTTGCCTCTTTGGATTTTCTTTTGAGTACGATCACCCACTTGCCTGCTACTGAGCTGCAGATCATGCTGTGAGGCTATGCAGATCATACCTGCAGCCCTCATAGACCTGACAGTGCTCAGGAACCAAGTTTGCCCATTCTTATCATCTCTTAGACCTATACCATGGTGAGGATGGGAGCTTCAGTGGACTTGAACATTCTTTACTGTCATTCAGTCAGGGTTGTGGGAGCAATTTATAGTGGGAATGTCTTATGCATTACGGTAAAGTTTCCTGGATAGGTAAGTAGCTATTTCAATGTCCTTCATGTTTTTTCTAGGTCCAAGCACATGGAAATTAGCTGAGTACACATGACTCCCAAGGACTATTTTCTTCCTTCCCAGGTAATGCTGTTTTTTAAAAAAGAGCATCCTTTAAACCCCATCTTCATTGAAACTAATTTAGTAGGAAGAACTGTACTTAAAGGGGCTAATGGGAATTCCCATAGATGGATTGTATAATTTTCTTTTTTAATCTATTCTGTTTTTCAAGAGCATGTTCCCACAGCTTGACTACTCATATTTATACTAACATATTCTGAATTTGTGTCCCAAATTCTGATTACACAAATAAGTACAAAACTACATTATTTAAGCCTATTGAAATATTCACTCACATGTCCCAGAGGCACCCTTATCTGAATAATTTCAGAGCTGAACGTGTCGTTCTTCCCCACTCTGCTTCTCTTCCAGTTCTGTGTAACCTGATTTTGGTGCCATCGTCACCAGTTGTTCCACCAGGAAACTGGAAACTCATCGTGGCTTCTTTCCTCTCGCGCACCTCCAATACTCAAGCCATGGCCAAATTTTGTGCATTCTTCTCTCAAATTTGGAAATGCCTTTCCATTCTTACTTCTATTATTTTATTTAAGGAAACTCATTCCTTAAGTGCCCCTAAAATAAAAGAAACTTAAAATTAAAAGCAATTTAGAGACTAGAAATGCAATTTTTTATAAAGTTCAGATCTGAATCTGCTGAATTTGTTAAGGCTGATTACCTCGTGAATGTTTCCTTAAATGTTTCACAGCAGGGGATACTCACTATATAACCAAATACTGTGTTCCCAAAGGTAACCCAAATACTTTTCTTTAGTTTTTTTTTTTTCATTGCTTTTACAAATCTTTACAAAGAAACCAAACATTTCATCTACCAAATTGTTATTTTATAGTTTTCTTCAATATATCCATTCTCATTAGCTCTTCTCCATGTCAGCACACTTCACGCGGTCTTTGTTTAATCGATTGTGTAAGACTTTTTCACATTTGTTTGCAAAATTCAATATTACTATTTGGCTTAGTGGTTTCTAAAAGATCCTCTGCGTATGAAGAAAACTCATTTCTATCTTGAAACCAAGATTACATTAACTTATTTAACAAGTACGTCACATTGTCAATTGTGTTGAACCTGTGATGAAATAAAAGCCTCACAGATTTGTGCAAACACTGTTTAGCGCTATGAATCCATCTAGAGCGCACCTGGATTTTAGCATTAATCATTCTATTTTATATTCATTCTAGTTTAGATATTTAATATTCTTGTCCTCCCCTGTATACATAGTAGGAGGAGATGCTGAAGGACAGGACAAAGATTACTTAAAAAATAATCCTAGTGCTTACTATCATATCTATTAGATAAATAAATAAAAAGATAAACATATCTTTAAAAAAATTAATTAATGTTAATTAAGACCAGCTCCCATTAAATTTTATCGTAGGGTTTGAATCTTTTCAAAAGAAATTGTATCTTATTTTATCTCACACATTGATTGTTTCCTGAGTGTGTTATCATGCATGGCCTTGACAAGCTTCCTGTCATGTTTTTATCTCAAATGCTTGTAAAAATACTGATCCTGAAATATGAAAGTAAATCCTCCCTGTAATTCATACCTAGAAATCTCTGGCTTGAAATGTGCTCCATTACTGGCAAACTCACTCAGCCATGTTAATGACTAGATTAGGACTGTCCTCTAGGACTGTATTTCCTCCTCTGGAGCTTCGTGCGTAGGCGAAGCTGTAAGAACAAAGTGGAACAAAGAGGGGTCCACTGTTCATGATGTTCCTTGTCTCCTGCAGCTCCTCAGGCAGTGCAGGACAACCCAGCTATGCCCACATCCTCAAGCCCAGAAGGAAGCAACAAGCTCTGCTCTCTAGAAGCTCAAAGGATATGGAAAGAAAAGTCGCAGAGGTGCCATGCTCAGAATACAATGGAAAAGGCGGGTGTAAGATAACACTTCGGGCAGTTCTGAAATTCAGGGGCTTTTTCTTAGTGCCAATTTCATTAAGCAGTTCTGGAGAATCATACTTCTGCTCCTCTTGCATAAAGGACTTTTATTTCCTAGAATCCCAGGTTTATATACAGAGTTGCAAACTGGAACCCATAAATTATCATAGTCTTCACCCGGTCTCTCTTAGAATTTATTTCCCACTGACACAAACAAACTATTTTCTTCTGGTATATTCCAGATTTTCCAGTGTAGAGCCCAGTTGGAGAGAAGCACAACATATAGAGCAAGTACTGAGGTGGATTGGATTCTCACTCAATTCTCCGACTCGTGCTTACCACGGATTTGAGTTAACTTTTTGCGTGGTCTTCCTATTCACAAAATGCAATTAATGTTTATTTAACATACTGAAATGAAGCATATGAAAAATTTAAGAGCACTTTACTAAAAAGCGCTTTTTAACATACTTTGCTTCTGGGTATAGATCATGACTACTGTAAGTGAGAGGTACTGTGGCATGCTCTCTATACCTGGCACTACATCTTAGAGAGTAAGAATAATTATGAGGTCCCTCCGATACATGAGAACACAGAGGATGAGAGATGTTAATAACTTGTCTAAGATCTACAGCTCATAAACAGAAGTTGACCTCGGGACTATTAGACACCAAAGTCCACGCTGATTAAGCTGTGCACAGAGGAGGAAGCTTTTAGACAAAGAAAAAATAAAATAACATGTTACGGTTGATTAGTGCTCTGAGTCGTATTACCCAAAATGTACTGATAGTCCAGAAGTATAAATAAGAAGAGGAGCTGGGTAAACTGAAAGGGTGCATGATGTTCTGAGGCTTGGAAATGGGACAGCCAAAAGTCAAGCACAGGAATTTTCTGTCTTCCGTGTCGGGGATTATTATAATACCTACTCTTGTCATTTAAAATGACACTGTTTCACAGATTTCACACTGACTCTGTTATTTAAAATGATATTATTTCACAGGCTTCGCACTGACAGAATTTTAAAATGTTATAAACATTTAAAATACTATTTATAATATAAATGCTACATTCATTTAAGATGATTTTCCCTTTATTTCTCATGTATATATTTAAGAAAATAATTTGGTTCCTATAAATTATACCCATTCTGTTTACAAATCCCCATCCAACTTGGGTGGTTGGTAATTACAACTCAGTCACTATAAGAACCACTTCTTCTTCCCAAAGTTTTTACTAATTTATGAAGTATGTCCAGAAATCAAGAAAAAAATCTATTATTACAACCACTGACCATTTTGCTTCAAAATTTTAAGTTTATTTTAGTGTAATTTACAGCAAAGAAAATGTACCCCTTTTAAGAATATAATTCGATTATTAACGATTTATGGATATTATGGTATAATAACATTCCAATAAATAGGCAAACCAATTTTGTCACCCCAGAAAGTTTTGTCATGCCCAGAGTTCTCCATCTCCTTCCACTTTCTCCTGAGATAAAAAGTAGTGATTGAATTTCTATCACTATATGTTAGTTTTTCTTAATCTAGAACTTTATATAATTGGAATCACAGTGTATGTGTTCCCTCCTGTATGGCTTCTTCCACTCATAATGAAAGTGTAAGTTTTTTCATCCATGTTATTGTATATATTAGTAATTTTTCCCTTTTATGACTGAATAGCATTTCAGTGTACATGTATAGCACAAATTGTTATTTTATGTTCCTGAATTAGATATTGAGTTGTCACCAGTTTATGACATCTTCATTTTTGAGAAAACGGTGGGTCCCTGCAATCTAGTGGCTCGATGTTTAGCTTGCCAGGACATGAGACTCAAGGCTCATGGTTCTACATCCCACATATATGGTCTAGTCAAGGTTTCTGTACCTTGGATGTCACTTTGGCATGTTTCAACTCAGTGGTTCATGGCTCTGGCTGGGGGAGAAACCCCCATGTAAAATACTTAAGTTAATAGAGAAAAAAGCATGAATCAGTAAATAAATTTAAAAGTAAATGATTAGAAAAGAAGTAATGTACAGATAATTTCTACTTTCTTCCATACTACAATTTTTCCCAGTGGCAAGGAGCACAAGCTTGTGCTGCTGTCGTATTAAGTCACTGGCTAAGCAAAGCTAAAACACCATGAGAGACAGGGTGAGGTGGCTCACACCTGTAATCCCAGCACTTTGGGAGGCCAAGGCAGGTGAGTTATGAGGTCAGGAGTTAGAGAACAGTTTTGCCAACATAGTGAAACCCCGTCTCTACTAAAAATACAAAAAATTAGCCAGGTGTGGTGGTGTGCACCTGTAATTCCAGCTACTTGGGAGGCTGAGGCAGGAGAATTGCATGAACCTGGGAGCCACAGGTTGCAGTGGGGTGAGATGGCGCCATTGTCTCCAGGTTGGGAGACAGTGAAAGATTTTGTCTAAAAAAAAAAAAAAAAAAAACCACGATGGGAAACCCCTTAATTTAAAAGCTACATCAATGTTGACCTACAGAGTGAGTTCTAGCCTAAGCCAAACACACTTAAGTCTTCACCTAGAGCACAGGTAATAAAACTGGTGGCCCACATGTCAAACTGTAGATGTTTTTGCAACTCTGGGTCCTTATTCTCCAAAAAAATAGTAAGATAACAGCCCAAGAGAATTTTTGGTAAAGAATTTGATAAACATAACATACTGTGTGCATTTTGCTATTAGTCTATCTTTCATCAAATAAGTTTATAAAATAAATTAACCACATTGAATTTATTTTTGGGATAATCAATTTAACATGTGGTTGCAAAGGCAGAGATCTTTTCTGGCCTTCCCTGACTCCCTGTCTCCTATTTCACCACTTAATTTTTTACCTTTCTTATCACTTTCTACATTTGAACGTTCTTAATACTCAAGTAACATATTCCATTCCAGGCGTGTTAGTTTGTTCTCATGCTGCTAATAAAGACATATCCAAGGCTGGGTACTTTATAAAGAAGAAAGAGGTTTAATGAATTTATAGTTCCACATGGCTTGGGCGGCCTCACAATCATGGTGGAAGGCGAAGGAGGATTAAGGACACATCTTCCATGTCAGCAGAAAAAAAGGCATGTGCAGGGGAACTCCGGTCTATAACGCCGTCAGATCTCATGAGACTTAACATGAGAACAACATGGGAAAAACCCACCTCCATGATTCAATTACCTCCCACCGAGTTCCTCCCATGACAGCTGGGGTTTATTACAATTTAAGGTGAGGTTTTTATGGGGACACAGAACCGAACTCTATCATTCTGCCCCTGGCTTCTCCCCAGTCTCATGTCCTCACATTTCAAAACCAGTTATGCCTTCCAACTGTCCCCTAAAGTCTTAACTTATTCCAGCATTAACCCAAAAGATTTAAAAATCTCATCTAAGACAATGAGCCTTCCACCTATGAGCCTGTAAAATCAAAAATCAAAGCAAGTTAGTTACTTCCTAGATACAGTGGGGGTACAGGCATTGGTAAATACATCCATTCCAAATGAGAGAAATTGGCCAAAAGAAGGGGCTACAGTCCTCATGCAAGTCCAATATGCAGTGAGGCTGCCAAACCTTAAAGCTTTGAAATAATCTTTGACTCTAAGTCTCATATCCTGGTCACACTGATGCAAGAGTTGGGGTCCCAAGACCTTGGGCACCTCCACCATTGTGGCTTTGCAGTGTACAGCATTCCTCCCAGTTGCTTTCATGGGCGGGCATTTAGTATCTGCAACTATTCCAGGTGCCTGGTGCCATCTGTTGGTGGGTCTACTATTCTGGGGTCTGGAGGATGGTGGCCTTTTCTAACAGCTCCACTAGGCAGTGTCACAGTGGGAACTCTGTGTGGGGGTTTCACACCCCACATGTCCCTTCTGCATTGCCCTAGTAGAAGTTCTCCATGAGGGTGCCACCCCTGCAGCAAACTTCTGCCTGGACATCCACATGTTTCCATACATCCCCTGAAATCTAGGCAGAGGTTCCCAAACCTCAGTTCTTGACTTCTGTGCCCCCACAGGCTCAACACCACATGAAATCTGCCAAGGTTTGGGGTTTACAACCTTTGAACTCACAGCCAAAGCTGCATCTTGGTCCCTTTTAGCCATTGCTGGAATGGCCCAAGAAGAAGGGTACTAAGTCTCTAGGCTGCATACGGCAGAGGGGCCCTGGGCCCACCCCATGAAAACATTGCTTTTCCTCCTAAGCCTTCAGTCCTGTGATAGGTGGGGCTGCCTGGAAAGTCTCTGGCATGCCCTAGAGACATTTCCCCATTGTCTTGGAGATTAACATCTTGGAGGTTCACATTTGACTCCCTGTTACATATGCAAATTTCTATACCGGGCTTGAATTTCTCCTCAGAAAATGAGTTTTGCTTTCTATTTTTTTAATTTTTAATTCTTATTTTTTTTTTCGAGATGGAGTTTCACTCTTGTTACCCAGGCTGGAGTGCAATGGCACGGTCTTGGCTCACCGCAACCTCTGCCTCCTGGGTTCAGGCAATTATCCCGCCTCAGCCTCCAGAGTAGCTGGGATTACAGGCATGCGCCACCATGCCCAGCCAATTTTTGTATTTTTAGTAGAGACAGGGTTTCACCATGCTGACCAGCATGGTCTCGATCTCTTGACCTTGTGATCCACCTGCCTTGGACTCTCAAAGTGCTGGGATTACAGGCGTGAGCCACCGCCCCGGCCCAGTTTTGCTTTTTATAACAACATCTGGATGCAAATGTTTCAAGTTTGTATGCTCTGCTTCCCTTTTAAACATAAGTTCCAATTCCAAATCATATATCTGTAAATACATAAAACTTAATGCTTTTAACAACACCAAAGTCACTTCTTGAATGCTTTGCTGCTTAGAAATTTCTTCTGGCAGATGCCCTAAATCATCTCTCTCAAGTTCAAAGTTCTACAGAGCTCTAGGGCAGGGGCAAGGTGCCACCAATCACTTCCCTAAACACAGCAAGAGTCACTTTTATTCCAGCTCCCAGCAAGTTTGTCACCTTCATCTGAGATGAGCACCATTTTGTTAAAGCCGTTCAGCAAGTCTCTAGGAAGTTCCAGGCTTTCCTACATTTTCCTATTTTTTTCTGAGCCCTAACAGTTGTTCCAACCTCTGTGTTTTACCCAGTTCCAATGCTGCTTCTACATTTTGGGAGATCATTATAGCAGCACACCACTACCTGGTACACATTTACTGCATTAGTCAGTTCTCATACTGCTAATAAAGATATACTCAAGGCTGGGTGATTATATAGAACAAAAAAGAGGTTTAATAGGCTCACAGTTCCACATGGCTGGGAAGACCTCAGAATCATGGCAAAAGGCAAAACAGGAGCAAGGACATGTCTTACATGGGTGCAGGAAAGAGGGCATGAGCAGGGGAATTCCCTTTTATAAAACCATCAGATCTCATGAGACCTATTCACTATCATTAGAATAGATGGAGAAGAGCAGCCCCCATGATTTAGTTATTTCCCACCAGGTTTCTCCCACAACACATGAGGATTATTACAATTCAAGGTACGATTTGGGTAGGGAGATAGAGCCAAGCCATATCACCAGACTTCACATTTGTCTTCCCCTCTTGAATGTGAGGCCAAGGGGGAAAGGACCATGATGTTTCAACTGAACCCGTGACACCTAGAGCAATGTCATCCACATATGTCTGCTGAATGAATGACTAGATGCACTGCTTGAGGATTCTAACAAAAGAAAAATTTGACTAGATAATCTGCAAATAATCATCCTTGATTATTTTTCTAAACTCGAATATTACATTAATTGTAGTAATGTCACTCATTATCTGCTTACCATTTGCCAGGCAATGTTCCATGCATTTTCCACATTTTTGCTCACTTGATGCTCAAATAGTATGTGTAGGTACATACTATTAATAAAATTATTTTATAGACAGAGGAACCAATGCATAGGGAAGCTGAGTATCTTACCCAGAAAGGGAAGTTTAAAGTGCTAAGTTCAACATTCTAATTCCAGAGCCTATGCTCTGGGCCTCTGTGATGCAATAAACCTCAAAAATAAACCGACTGGAATGGGTGGGTGGCCCATGCCTGTAATCCCAGCACATTGAGAGGCCAGCATGGGCACAATGTTTGAGCCAGGGAGTTGAAGACAAGCATAGGAAACTTAGGGAGATCCTGTCTCTACAAGATATACAAACACTAGCTGGCCAAGGTAGCACATGCCAGGAGTTGCAGCTACTCTGGAGCCGGACTTGGCAGAATCATTTGAGCCTGGGAGGTGGAGGCTGCGGTGAGCCAAGGTTGAGTAGCTGCATTCCAGCCTGAACGACGGAACAATATCCTGTAATAGAAAAAGAAGAAAAAAAAAAAGCAACTTAAAAGGAAGGACATTAAATTTAAAAAGCTTTAATTTTGGTGAAAAATGTTTCTTAAAGCAAAATTCCTTTACTGGAACATGCATTTCCCAGAGTTATGCCCGGGGGGTGGGGGGGGCAAGGAGAACAGCGTTTCACATTCTCCACACGTTGTGTTACTTTTCTCCATCAAGTGTTCCAATGATTGAAAAAGTCCACTGTGTGAGTTTAATTGTACACACACTTTCTCAAGCCTGTCTTCCTCTCTAAGCCCCATTGCCCTCCTATCCTAATCTATTCCAAGGGCTGGTGAAAAAAAAAAAAAATCCCACGGATACTCTCCCTGATGCAGGCTACTGTCCTGATTCTCCGGAAAAAAAAAAAAAAAAGAAAGAAATAAAGACATGCGTATGCATGTGCAGTGGTTGTTTCAATGTGTGTGCACACCCACGCCAAAAAGGAAGGTGAAGCATACTTTCAGTTTCAGCTCACACAAGGAGGAAGAGGAGAAAAGCCATGGCTGGTGAGTCTTACACTGTCCCAAGGACAGGTCCCTGGGAAGGAAGAGTTTTGGAAGGGGCTGGCTCTTCAGGAAGCCGTAATTAGTATCTGTGGAAGTCTAGGTGGGCAGAAGTGAGGGAGAGGGAGAACAGGGAGGAGAGAAGAAACCAGAAGACTCTCGCAGCCTTTAGAAAGGAAAGGCAAACCCAGAAAGGAACTGAGGGCTTTCAGAGGTAGCCGGCTGTCACTTTGCAATCTTAATTAAACTCTAACTTACATGTGTAAGTCTAACGGAGGGTACAGAACTGGCACAGGAGGAGTACTAGCAGCTATTGTTCCTGAGAGAATGGGCTGCTTTATTATTCGTAGTTAAATAAACATGAGACACAAAAGGATGGTCTCTGCTTTCCAGGGGTGAAGCTGGAAATGGTAAACTCAGTCTTCAGGCCACTCCATGCACATGTTCAGGGACTACTGAGAGAAAGGAGTGGGACAGTGATACAGTAAGAAGAGGGATTTTACCCAAGTATGAGGAGGGGGAATTTTACAGATGAAACTTAAATGAGCTCTCTTTCTGTTGATGACATGAGAGGAATATGAGGCTGTTCTCATGATGTGAGAAATCCTTGTGCCCTGAACAGACAAGATCCTGAAGGAGAAGAGGAGGCTCTTTATCCGTTCAGTGGGTGAAGGTACAATAAATGGCTTACTGGATGAATTACTAGAGAAAGGGGTGCTGAACGAGGAAGAGATGGAGAAAGTAAAACGTGAAAATGCCACAGTCATGGATAAGGCCCGAGCTTTGCTTGACTCTGTTATTCGGAAGGGGGCTCGGGCATGCCAAGTTTGCATCATGTACATTTGTGAAGAGGATCGTCACCTGGCAGAGAAGCTGGGCCTCTCAGCAGGTAAGGATCAGTGACTCACACTCAGGTGCACACAGGGCTTATCAACGTGCCTATATGTGATGTCTTTACTAGTCATGTTAAGTTGCAGAAAACTTTCTTATCTCTGGCGTCTGGGCCATGTTTCTGTAACAAGGGACAGTGCCTGTCCCTTGACTCTCCTTTGGTTCTGTTTCTTCATCCTCAGTGGCCGTCTTCTGATTGAAGCTCATTTCCTGTTCTGAGTATGTGGTAGTTCACTTGCTGAAGCTCGTGAGAAGCATCTGAAAAGCTTCACGCTGTATGTTCCAGTGTTCCTGTCAAGGCATAATATTTGTTTGTGGATCCATTTATTTATTTTTTTCCCTAAGCACTTAAGTAGTTGTAAAGCCACATGAAGCTTTAAGGTTTGTAATCAAATACTTTTTATAACTTTTCTCCAAAATTTTCCCCTCCAAAAAGAATACAATATATTTCAGTGATGGTGATACACTCCATCTTGAGAACGTATCGAATATGTAGAAATACAAAGTTTTCTAGTGGGTTCGTTCCTCCAGTTGCCTCCTTATATTTTTTTTTAGTAAGATCACCCACTTGCCTGTTGCCAGGTGGCAGTTTATGCTGTGAGGCCTGGACTGCCTCCACCTGCAGCCCCTTCACACCCGATGCAGTGCTCAGGAACTGAGCCGGCCACATTTCTTGACCACTTGTACCTACCACATGGTGAGGGTGAGAGCTCTGGTGGGTTCACAGTCACCGATCTCAGTGGAACTTCCTAAAGCCACTTCGGAGGGAAATGTTCTTTGAAAGTAAAAACCTTTTTTTTCTAAGGGTTAGGGAAAGTTTATGCCTGCCTAAGCAGACACTGCAGATGTTTCTGTTTCATCTGTAAGTAATAAAAACCCTTTTTTATTGCTGTCTCTTTCATTTTATACCTCTCACCACTCTCTAAATTAGAGAACATCTTGAACATTATTTAATGTCAGTCAGTCAGTGTTACAGGAGAAATTTTTAGTGGGGAGCGTTTTGCACATTGGGGTAAAGTTTTCCACAGAGGATAAGTGACTATTTCAATATCCTTTATCTTTTCATTGGTCAAACATCTGGACATCACCTTGATATGCAAGATTCTCAAGAAGCACTTCCGTCCTTCCCAGGTAATGCTGTTTAAAACCAAGAGCATTCTTTGACCCTCCATCTTCCTTGACATGAATTTTGCAGGATGAATCATGGGTAAATGGGCTATGGAGAATTTTCATGGATTGATTATATAATTTTCTTTTCATCATCTATTCTGCTTCTGTAGAAATTGTCCCACAGCTTCATTATCCATGTTTATATTAAAAATTCTGAATTGTATCTCAAATCCGGATTACCCAAATAAGTACCAAATTTATTATTTAAGCCTACTGAAATATTCCCTCACATCTCCCAGAGACACCCTCATCTAAACAGGTTCAGAGCTGAGCATGCTGTTCTTCCCACCCTGATTCTCTTCCGGTTTTGTGTCACTCGGGTATTGGTGCTACCACCATCAGTTTTTCAAACCAGGAGCTTGAAACTCATATGGGATCCTTTCTTCTCATGTACCTTCAGTATTCAAGCCATGGCCAAGTTTTATGCAGGCTTTTCTCAAATTTGGAACCATCTCTTGATTTTTACTTCTATTATTTTATTAAAGAACATTTATTCCTATAGTGCCCTCTTAAAATAAAATAAACATATCTGAAAGCAAGGATTTCAGAGGGTAGGAATGCAAATTATATCAGTTTGAGGGTAGGAATGCAAATTATATCAGTTTGAGATATTTACCGAATTTATTAAGGTTGGTTATCTCATGAATATTTTATTAAATGTTTCACAGCATGGGATATTCAACATATAAACAAATACTGTATTCTTTACTATGGAAAAATAGCTCAAAAATAACCTAAATACCTCTATATATTTTTTCTATTGTTTTCACACTTCTTTATGAAGAAACCAAACATTTCATCCACCAAATGATTATTGTATAATTTTCTCCAATATATCAATTCTAATTAGTTCTTTTCCACATCAACATATTTCATGCTGCCTTTGTTTGTCTGACTGTGTAACAGTTTTTCAAATTTTTTCTTAAAATTAAACTTTTTTTGCCTTAATAGTTTCTAAAAGATTCTCCACATATCTAAAAAACTTATTTCTATTTTGAAACAAAGATTACATTAATTTCTTTAAGAAATACATCACATTGTCAGATTGTGTTGAATCTGTGATGAAATAAAAACCTCAAGGATTTTCTCGCATAAACTCTGTGAAAACATTTCCTCATGTGTGTGTGCAGTCAGTGTTTAGTGCTGTGAATCCATCCAGTGTGCATCTTGATTTTAGCAATCATCATTGTATTTTATATTCATTCTATTTTATATATTCAATATTCTTGCCCTTACATATGTATACATAGAAATAAGAGATCCTGAAGGACAAAGATGCATTTTAAAAAATATTCTTAGTGCTGACTACCATGTCTATTAAGTAACTAAATGAAAAGATAAACATAGATTTTAAAAATATTTCAGTAGATTTAATTAAGACTTGCTCCCATTAAATTTTATCCTAGGATTTGAATCTGTTGAAAAAGTTTACCTTCTAACTATTTTATCTCACACATTGTTTTCTGAGTGTTTTACCAGGCATAGGCTTGACATTTTCTTTTTCTATGTTAGTATCTAAAATGCTTGTAGAAATGCTGATCTTGAAATATGAACGTAGATCCCTGTAATACATACCCAGGGATCTCTGGACTGAAAGGTGTTCCATTAGCAGCAAACTCTTTCAGCTGTGTTGATGATGTAGCTCAGGGTTGTCCTCCTCAGAGTGCGTTTCCTCTTCTGTGTCTTCATCCATAGGTGAGGCTGTAAGAAACACAAAGCGGAACAAAGAGGAACGCCACGGTTCATAACGTTCTTCGTCTCTTACAGCTCCTCCGGCAGTGCAGAACAAGCCACCGATGCGCTCAGAAGGGAATGTCAAGCTTTGCCCCCCAGAAGAAGCTGAAAGGATAAAGAAAGAACAGTCGGCAGAGGTGCCATGCTCAGAACACACGGATAGAGTGGGGTGAAAGATATACTTGGGGCAGTTCTGAAATGCAGTGACCGTTTCTTAGAGCCAATTTCATTGAGCAGTTCTGGAGAATTACGCTTTTGTTCCTCTCACATAAAGGATTTCTGTATGCTAAAATCCCAGGTTTGGAGAAAGAGTTCCAAATTGGATCCACTTCCTGGGTAAATAACATCAGCGATGGCAGCTATTGAATGCTTACTATGAGTGGGCATTGTTCTAAGCAATTCACACACGATAATAAATAATTTTAAACCTAAACGTAACCCATTTTGGAGATCAAGAAGCTGAGATATAGGATTGTTAAATATTTTGACCAAAGATAACCAGAAATTGAAGAAATCAGTTTTAGAATTCAGCCATTTTTTGCTTCAAAGCTTGTGGGTCTTTCAAAATCCTACATATCAAGAACAATGAAGTCAGTAGTTTGGCTGCCATCTGGGCATTTGCGATTTCCATGCCTGCTCTTGAAGCAGCACTCAATTCTGTTACCCCTTTTCAATGTACAGTTCATGGGATTTGGTATCTTCATAGGACTAAGGAAGGGAAAGCTGTCGCAAACCAGCAAGGTGAATATTTAATTGGAGAGGACAAGGCTGTTAATTCAAACTCCATTTCCTGTAGATTTATCCAACAATGGACAAGTCAAGCCGCACACGTCTTGCTCTCATTATCTGCAATGAAGAATTTGACAGTCTTTCCAGAAGAACTGGAGCTGAGGTTGACATCACAGGCATGGAAATACTGCTAAAAAATCTGGGGTACAGTGTGGATGTGAGAAAAAATCTCACTGCTTCAGTAAGTTCTATTAACAGAACTAAGAGACGATGGTCATGCCCTTCATATAACTAAATAATATTAGAAAGCTTGGTTGTAAGACCAAGAAATGTAATCTCTTGATAATCTAAAATATAAACTTACCATGAGAGAGTGCTGGATACTACATGTTCCCTTGTAACATAAGAGTCTTTCAGCACAAGCTTGGTGTAACTTAATTGGGAAATGCTTTATTAGCTCAGTAATGTCACTGTCTCGCTACAAGATAACTCTGGATGACTTCCTATAACACTTTTCTTTCTAAAAATTAAGACTAAAATTTTTTTGGCACTCCATTGTTTGTCATGGAATTCCTTAAGCAATTCCTTAAGTATTTATTCATCGGCTTTCCAAGGTGCCGTGATAGTTAATTACACAGTGCAAAATCAGCGGTGTGGTCTCTTTCAGGAAATGACTACAGAGCTGGAGGCGTTTGCACACCGCCCAGAGCACAAGACCTCTGATAGCACCTTCCTGGTGTTCATGTCTCATGGTATTCGGGAAGGCATTTGTGGGAAGAAATACTCTGAGCAAGTCCCCGATATATTACGAGTCAATGAAATCTTTAGAAATTTGAATACCAAGAACTGCCCAAGTTTGAAGGACAAACCCAAGGTGATCATCATCCAGGCCTGTCGTGGTGGTGAGTGCCAAGGTCTTTGAGAACACCAGACATTCAAATACTGTCCTCAGCTGTATGCATCCAGGATTTTTCAGTTTCTTTTTGTCTGTCTTTTAATGTCAAAGAACATGTAATGTCAGCACTCAAGACTGTGGTTTCTGTGGATTGAATGGCTGGTTGGTAGATATTTGTCCCATATTAAAGCTTGAGACTTTGGTGTTTGGACATTTTTCGAATTTGCTTCATGATCAGAAAAGTTAAGAATTGTTGAAAAGATTGTAACTGAAATGTATGTGTGTATTTGCATGTTAATTAATTATAGAGCAAACACATTAATAAATATCCCGGAACAGAGGCTAGGAGGAAAACATCATCTTCTCAGCTGTTGGTACTAGTAACAAATCAAATTTTGTCTTTCCAGAGAACGAAGGTGTGGTGTGGTTAAAAGACTCAGCAGGAGTCTCTGAAAACACATCTTTACCAACTACAGAAGCTTTTGAAGATGATGCCATTGGGAAAGCCCACATAGAGAAGGATTTTATTGCTTTCTGCTCTTCCACACCAGGTAGCAGGTTCTACACAGGACATCTTTGTTGGGGTTATCAATACAAAAACTGACAATCACCCACTAGTGGGTCTATACCTGCAGGGAATTTAGATAAGATTTTCAAAGACCAACTTAAGCTTTGTTCCAAGTTATACACACAATTCCCTCTATCCAAGAGATCAATTTTACATATCTGTTCGATGAATTAGTAATAATTTGTCTATGTTTCCAAATTTTTTATTGGAATGCTGAGCCATAACAGAGAATTATATGGAAGATGTTCTGTGCTGTGGTACATTAGAGTCTGACTCTGTGTAGGAAGGTTCTGCCATGTTGAGATCATTCATCGGTCCAATTCGCCCAGACATCAAGTATTCATAAAAGAAGAATGGGAGCTGGGTACAGAAAAGCAGAACAGCAAGTGAGGCACTTTAACCCTAAATTAGAGTGGGTTTTATCTAGAAGCATGAAGTGCATAAGTCAGAATATATTTGAATTATTCTAAATGTATACTTTGGAGTGAGAATTTTGCCGTTATTGACTGATACAACCATTTATTACTTTGTAAACCAGCTCCACTAGTTTCTCCCTGGGTTCTCCCTGAATTGCACACTCACATGTGAATATAAATATTATTTTTCTAAGGACCGAATAAATTAATATATTTTAAATATTGGGCATGACACAAAATAAAGCACACATTAAAGAACTGCTATTATTTAAAATGTTTTTATTTTATAACTTAATTCAATTACTTTTCTAAGCGAGGTTTAAATAAAAATTCTTTAAATTCTTTCATTCACCACATTTGGCAGTTTCCGGAGAGGACTCGCATTCTCTCAGTCACCTGTTGCCCAAAGGCCCTGCCTCTGCTCAAACAGTTTTCTAAAATATTTTCTAAAATGAGATATCTTCTTTCAGAAGAAGCTCGGTTCTACATTGCGTTGAACATGCCCTGATGTAGAACTAAATATTTTTTTCCAATGTTCAGAAACAATCGCATCATAGAAAAAACCATGCATTTCCATCCTGAGTACATATGACACTTAGTCGACTTCAATATCAGACAGAACTGTCTTGAATATCCTTTGATCCCAGATTTTCACATCCACCCCTCTCTACGTGGCTCTCCGTAGGCCCCTGGCTTCTCATCGTGAACCTGGCTGACTTATGTGACTTTCTTTTCTTCCACTTTCCTTACTCCTCCTTTCCAGATGACTGTCAGGAACAGCGATTTAGTTATATATAACTTCCACGTTAGACCCATCTCCACATCCCAGTAATTTCCTGAAGAAAAGTAACCATCTGCTTCCTTAATTTCACAAAACGTTTGCAGAGACATGTCTCCACAATATCTCTTACCTACTTCCTGTTACTAGAACAAGTCTCGGTTAAAGAATTCCTGGGCCGGGCGTGGTGGCTCACGCCTGTAATCCCAGCACTTTGGGAGGCCGAGGCAGGTGGATCACGAGGTCAAGAGATCTAGACCATCCTGGTCAACATGGTGAAACCCCGTCTCTACTAAAAATACAAAAAATTAGCTGGGCACGGTGGTGTGTGCCTATAATCCCAGCTACTCAGGAGGCTGAGGCAGGAGAATTGCCTGAACCCAGGAGGCGGAGGTTGAGGTGAGCTGAGATCGCGCCATTGCACTCCAGCCTGGGTAACAAGAGTGAAACTCGGTCTCAAAAAAAAAAAAAAAAAAATTCCTTTCGCTGAGATACCTGTGTTTCTAAATAGAATTTTATTATCAATATATACTTTCTGACCATTATAACTGGCTAAAATGTGTCATTAAAGAATGTGTGTGTCATTATACATGGAGCTATTGCTACTGTCCTTCTCTTAAGCCTTGCTCTGTATAATTTTATGTCCTCATTACTTCTATGTCTACCATGTAATAAATTAATATTGTTTTTCTTTAGTATTTCTCTTCTTCATAAGAACCGTTCATCCTGCCATATGATGTGCTCATTTCCTTATCAACTCCTCCCAGATTTCTACTTTTGTTCTGTTTATGATTTTTATAGTTAATTTTTTGAATGTAAAATCTTACTGTCAATGTTATTCAATTTTAATTATTTTTAATGAAGTATGTATTCAGAATTTATTAACACAGTTATCCTGTATAGACTGAATATTACATATCCTGTGTTATCTTAGACACTTGTGTGACCTCAGATATCTCTTACGTACGAAATGATTACCATCCCCTGTATAGCTGAGTCTATTCCATATCAGAATGCATAATTAACTTAAATCACAGTCAGCAGTACCACTTTGGGGATGTACATTTAGATATTCGTTTTCCAAATCCCAATCACTCCCCTGTACTCCATTCTGCCTTTTCCTTTCTTGATAACTAAATCTATGATTTCAAACACACCTTGGCTAGAGTAGAAATACTAGGGTTTCTTCTCTTTCTTCAGGCAAGAACTTGTCTTGAGATTTGAAATGTACTTTATCAACAGATAATGTTTCTTGGAGACATCCCACAAAGGGCTCTGTTTTTATTATGAGACTCATTGAACATTTGCAAGAATATGCCTGTTCCTGTGATGTGGAGGAAATTTTCCGCAAGGTAAGGCTCTAGTGGATGCTATTTTCAATTCATCTCCCTGAATGCTTGGCTATTGCAATTGGAAGCTTAGAAAGCAGATCTGGACATGTTTATCTTCTAATAATACCCGTCTTTCCAAAAAATTTTCGAAGTTCTTTGGAGTGTGGACAAACCTGGGAGCCAGGTCCAGTCTGCTACGACTCACAGCCTTGAGAAAACAATAGATTAGTTTCCCCCTGCTCCTGCCCTGCAGAGACGAATCAGTGGACTCTAATTTGCCTGTTCCTCGTGGCTATTAGATACAGCAGCAGATTTTAAAAGCCCTGAGGAGGGTCATTCATTGCTTTGATACGTATATGGCTAAACGTGTTGCAGATGGAAGTAATTTTTGTTTTTGTCACTTATTTTGCTATATTTGTTGTAGTCTTTTTGGTGTAACTCAAGAATCTCTTGAAAAAAACCCAGAAAAAATAGGTCTACAGACTTTCCTTTCTCTTTTAGGTTCGACTTTCATTTGAGCGAACAGATGGTAGAGTGCAGATGCCCACCGCTGAAAGGGTGACTTTGACAAGACGTTTCTACCTCTTCCCAGGATGTTAAAATAAGGAAGTTGTGTGAGTATCTGTGGGCAGGTGTGTGTGTACGGTTGGGACTGTGGGAAGGTTCAGGAAAGCATAGTGAAAGTGCCTTTTAGTCAAGGACTCTGGGTCTACAGGTTGAGAATCCTTAATCCAAACATTAGAATTTTGAAATACTCTAAAATCCAAAACTGTTTGAGTGCCCATATGATATTTAAAGGAAATGTTTATTGAAGCATTTCGAATTACAGGTTTCTGGATTAGAGATGATAAACCAGTATGTATACTACAAATATTCCAATATACAAAAATTTCTGAAATTCAAAATACTTCTGATAGCATGCATTTTGGATAAGAAATATTCAAGCCATATAATATACAGAAAATACTGAAGTAATGCCTTTATTCTGGTCAGTGCACTGCACATTTCTCTTCTCCAAAAGTTTTTCATTTCGACCCCTTCTGAGAGTCAGCTGCTATTTACCTAGAAGTGGCCATAAGACAATGAATGCTCACCTCTACATGTTTCTCCCCTTCACCTCAGCAGAGTATATTTAAACATAGCATGCACTCTTTCCTTCTAAGATTGTGTGTGCTCCCATTGGTGGTATAACTTTATAACTTGCTTGTCTTTTAGCAAAATTCTTTCCTATGGTTATTTTTATTTCTTTTTACTCATAGGACATGAAGAGATCTTTCACTCTTTAAAGGTTTTTAGAATTATGTCTGATAAGTAAAAAAACTTTTGATTTAATAAATCTGTTAGAAAAATGAAAACTTGTCCTCAGTTTTCTCCCACACTGAAGAAACAGGGGTTGGAACTTCGAGAGACTGATGAATTAGAGAGTTTGACCTAATCCGTAAGACCCAAACTGGCTATTGGCACCTTTCTTTCCCAGAGTTAAAATAAAATACAAAAATACAAAGATTACATGAGACTTATGAACATACCAAAGTTACTAATTACTTTCTTAAACAAAAATTTATGTTGCGCTCTTTTTTAAAAGAAAAGGAAAACCATTAGCTGGACTTTCTGCTTGAGAGATGCACATACAGATTACAGCAGGTACCTGACTTCAGAGAACTTAGAGCTTCGCCGGAGAAATGGGGAGAAGGCAGACACTTGTAACAGTGACAGTGCGGTGTGATAAGGAACTTTTCCCCAATCTCATGGTTACTACTGACAAATCCATGAACAGAACTTGCATATTTCTGCCCTTTGCTAAAGTATTTAAGACAAAAAAGGTAAATTTTGAATCAGCCCTAGACCCTCAGTAGTTCACAGAATCCTTGAAACGGTAAGATAGCCCTCAAAAATGAGGCACTTGGCAGATGATGGGTGACACCCTGAAGAAACACTAGGATGCATGGCACGTGCAATGAAGTCCCTGCATGGGACAGAGAAAAGGAGTTTGTGGTAAAATCATTCACTCCGAGATGTTGAAATTTAGGGAGGATTTGAAGAACTGCCCTTTTGCTTGCAAATATGAGGGTTTTTTTTCTAATCTTAAGCACATTAAATGAGAGTGAATTTCTGAGCTTTAAAAAATCTTCATAGCTGAACACATTATAACCTCTCTCTCTCTCTCTCTCTCTCTCTCTCTCGCCTTTGATTAACCATTTTTCTGGGCATGTCACTTCTGCACTATCAGGCATATTCTACTACAACCTGAAACTACATCTGTGATCAGTCTTTGCTCAAACAGCAGAAGTGAATTGCCGCCCTCAGTAAAAATGAACTGTTGAAGTTTTAGGCAGCTGAAGAAAGCATTCCGGGAAGTAGACAAGAAGATTCCTTCAGGACGATCTCCAATCAAAGGGTGAGATGACAGGGAGATGGGGAAGAGAAGACACCTTCATGATTCCTCAGCACAGTTTAAACAAGAAATACCTTTACTGAATAAACAATCCTTTCCTTACTTATTTTTGTTGCCTTTTTATCAGTTGGTTATAGGTGTGTGGCTTTACTCTGGGGCTCTCTATTCTGTTCCATTGGGCTATGTGTCTGTTTTTTGTACCAACACCTTGCTGTTGTGGATACTTTACACTTCTAGCATAGCTTGAAGTCCAGTAATGTGATGCATCCATCTTTGTGAAAAGCAGTTTGGAGATTCACCAAAGAACTAAAAGCAGAACTATCATTTATTTGACCAAGTATCCCATTGCTGGCTGTATCCCCAAGGGAGAAGATACTGTTCTATCTAAAGGACATGTGCCTTTAAATGTTTGTCACAGCACTATTCACCACAGCCAAAAAATATAGAATCAACCCAGGTGTCCATCAATTGTGGATTGGATTTTTTTAAAACTGTGCTACACGCCTACTATGGAATATTACATAGCCATAAAAATGAAATCCTGCCCTTTGCAGCAACACAGATGCAACTGGAGGCCATTTTTCTAAGCGTATTAATGCAGAAACAGAAAACCAAATATCACATAATCTCACTTATAAGTTGTAGGCTAAATATTGCGTACACATGGACATAAAGATGGGAATAACAGACACCGGGGACTACTAGAGGGAGGAGTGAAGCAGGAGGGAGAGAGCTGATCACTATGTACCGGCTGCTCTTCTCACCACCTACATGATGAAATAAGTTGTACCACAAACCTCTGCATCACCTAATATACTCATGTAACAAACCTGCATAGGTAGCCCTGAATCTCAAGTAAAAATTGAAATGAAAATCAAGAAACCCAAGATACACAAAACATTTGGTTAATTCTTGTGATGCAAGGAAACTAGTTAGATTTTACTCACTCAGGACAGGTTTTTTTAGATGAGCAGCGGAAGAATAACCGACAGATCAGAAGAGACGGATGAGTAGAAGAAGGTATGCAGCTACGGAGAGAGAAAAGGAAAAAGAAAACCAGGCTGAGGTGTCAAACCACAGAACAATGTTTTGTCATTTGCATTTTTTCCCACGGGAAGAAAGTAGAGTTTAGGACAAGAAAGCCAGTTGGCTGACTACAGGGCACTTCCCCATGACGCACCAGAAGTTCCAAGCAGCAGCTTCGTAATCTGTAATCACGTGTCCCCACTCGCTGCGATAAGGAAATACCGGTGACTTTTATTTCTGAGTCTGAGGCACTTTCCAGTGCTATATGAAGAGACAGAGGCTGTTAGATATGGCTGGTGAGTCCGGGGTCCTTTTCTGACTAGGAGCTGGGGACTCAGGTCTTAGAAAACTCTTGATTTATTGCTGTGTGACAGGGAGAAATACCGAAAGGGAAATAAGCCAATAGTACACGCTGGATCTTTCCGTTATTGGTGGCATGAAGTTTGAATCATGAGACCCAGTGTTGGAGACACTGAAGAAGAGACTGTTCTCTACATGTTTTCAAGCCAGCTAAAGGTTAATTCCTTTCTTTCAGCTTCTAATAATCAAAGGGAGAGTAAAAAAAAAAGTAAAGTGTTTGTGTGAGAAAACTCCAGAAATTTCTACATGCACTCTGAAATCTTCTCTGCTTCCTCTTGATCCCAGATTAATCCTCCAGACTACGAACCTTCTTCCCAGAAACAAGTCTGAGAGCCTCTGTGTTCTCAATGCATTGTCATCTTGTGTCTTGAATTACATTCTTGGGATGTTTAAAGTGATCACACTTTTTCCATCTTTCTATGTAGTCCTGGTACTAACTATTATCATGCAGTGTTTCTTGGGTTGCCGTCACAGATTTTTAACTGGCTTCCCACTCTCCAAAACGCAACCCTTCAGTCCATACTGCACGCTACTTTCAGGCTGACTGTCTTACACACAGAAGCTGAAAGTCTCAGAGCTGGAGTCCTGAGCTACTGAGGCAGCTAGTATTCCAGCAGGTCATATTGCTTCTTTGGCTTCATTCTCCTTATTGACAAGAGGAAGAAACTAGAATAGATCAGTGGTTTCTAAACCTTGTAACAGATGTGAATAATCTGTAGTCATATTAAACAAATTAGATTATACTACCTGAATAGCTCAATCTTTAATAGACTAGACATTTATTACCCTTAAAGATCTGCAGACAATTCCTAGGAAGCTAGCTTGGCATAGATTCTTCTACGGGTTAGCAATATTAGCAAGTTGGTCAGTTAGTTAACTCCCTCTTCTCATATGCTAGGGATCTATTAATATAATTTGCTTACTCAGCAACATACATTGCCTTCCTATATTGCTGTATGAAAAGGCACAGTGGCTCACGCCTGTAATCCCAGCACTTTGGGAGGCCGAGGCGGGTGGATCACGAGGTCAAGAGATCGAGACCATCCTGGTCAACATGGTGAAACCCCGTCTCTACTAAAAATACAAAAATTAGCTGAGCATGGTGGCGCGTGCCTGTAATCCCAGCTACTCAGGAGGCTGAGGCAGGAGAATTGCCTGAACCCAGGAGGCGGAAGTTGCGGTGAGCCGAGATCGCGCCATTGCACTCCAGCCTGGGTAACAAGAGCGAAACTCTGTCTCAAAAAAAAAAAAAAAAGAAAAACACCTGAACTCTCAGGTGCTTCTATGTTTCGAAATATTCTTACTCATTTTTCCATTAATCACTCTAAGGCATGATTTTAGGTTCATAAGAAAAAATATTTGCTGTATTTTACTTCACTCATAGTTCCTTGCTATTGAGTCTCTTTATTTCTTTGATTCGCCGTGTAGTTTATGTTTATCTCCAGGGTTTATGTCTCACCTGACAACACTCAATTTAAACTCCTAAAATGAGGGAATTTCTTTTTTATTTTTTGTCTATTTTGTGATACGACTAAAGCCTTTGGCCAGGGAGGAGTAAGACAAACTCACAGCCATGGCTCCGTCTCTGGCCAGGCAGGCTGACTTTACCAGTCAGGGACTGGAGGCAGGGGAATCATTAGGTAATAGGTAAGAGAGACTGAAAGGCGCAAAGCAAAAACAACTCAAGTGAATTGATCATTGCAAACAACCATGTGTGGCTTGTTTGATAACTGAAACTTGTGAAAAACAGTATCCTATATAAAATGTGTAGGAATTTCACTGGACTTTGCCTAGAACCAAAGCTGTGCTCTTGATGAATGTGGCCCCTAAATTATTCCATTCATTTTTATTATCACCGCAACTTTAATTCTGTGATTAGTAAAATAATCAATGAAAAGTGCTTTTTAACAATAGTACTGTATGATAGGTATCTCACGCACGTCCTCCGACTGAATATTTACAGTCAGTTAAGTTTGTGCTATTATCACCATTTTGTAGTTGAAGAAGATATCTAGAAAAGGACTAAAACTTTTTATTTGGTCTAATGTCTGTTGTGAAGAGTGAATCTCGGTTGGCCTGACTCTGAAACTCCACACTCTAATGTTATGTCAATTTTCTGCAAAGAAACCTGTTCGAATGGGGGCCCTGTCTCTGATCACGTCCACTTCGGTTCTGGCCCAGCCCTCCCAGCTTCCTGATTACTTTAGACACACTGAAGCCTTTGCGCTTCTTCGCTCACCGCTCTCTGCGGGAGACCAGCCCTTACTTGTCCAAGGGGCAAACTTCTTCTAGACTTTCCGGTCTCCGTGCCAAGCCCTCCCTCATTTGGACAGCTGTCTTCTCAAGCACACTTTGCTCATGCTGATCTTGAGCATCTGCTCATTATTTAAATTCTTATAATGTTTTTTATCTTACTTATTTGCATATCTGTCTTTCCACTTGACTATAAGCTGGAATGTATAATAATATTTCCCCAAAATGGTACCCTCACCACTAGCGGAGTATTTTTCACAAACTAATACTCACTAAATTTTCCGGAATGAACAGGAGAGTAAATATGCCTTCCCTCTGCTGGAAACTTCCAGTGTGTGCTTATCGCCCATTAAATAAAATCCAACTTACTTACTTTTTATTAAGTATTCTTCAAGAGTTGGGCCACACCTAAATTTGATTCATCTGTTTCGACATTCACTCAGCTAGTGATTCAGTAGGTCATTATCAGACTTCCCTTGAATGCCAGAAGTCGTGCAGGCCTGGTTTATGGCCACCTGTCCTCACAGAGCATAAAATCTAATGATGGATGCTGATAAGAAGGCTGGAAGTCACAGTTAAAGGTAAAAGGTATGCTACTCTAAGAATAAACAAGGTGCCCTAGGGGCATGTACATGACACTCTGTCCCCTCAGATACTCAGAGAGGATTTCCTGAAAAAAAAAGTGCCAAATGGGCCAGGTGTGGTGGGTCACGCCTGTAATCCCAGCACTTCGGGAGGTGGAGGAGGTAGATCATGAGGTCAGAAGATCAAGACCATCCTGACTAACATAGTGAAATCCCGTCTTTATTATAAATATACACACAAAAAATTACCTGGGTGTGGTGGTGGGTGCCTGTGGTCCCATCTGCTCTGGAGGCTGAGGCAGGAGAATCGCTTGAACCTGGGAGGCAGAGGTTTCAGTCAGCTGAGATAGTGCCACTGCACTCCAGCCTGAGTGACAGATTGAGACTCCATCCCCCAGCCCCCAAAAAATAAATAAGTGCCATCTAATCTTAGACTCGAAAAATAAACAGAGAGCATAGGAGAACAGGGAGCGATGAGAAGGTGGAAGACTGGCCTAAAAATTAAGTGAAGAGCAGAATGTTTTGAATGTAACGAGCAAGGTGGGGACAGTTTCAGACGAGGCAGAATGAGAAGGCCTAGGTTAGAATAAGCTGAGAGGTTCCATGGTCAAATCTAGATATTGGAACATTCTTCACTGTGGAGAATAGAATAGAAGGGACTACCAGAAGGTTTATAAGGTATTCTGTGCAATTAAGAAAGAAAGGGTCCTGTAATCCCAGCATTTTGGGAGGCCAAGGCGGGTGGATCACCCGATGGTCAGGAGTTCAAGACCAGGCTGGCCAACATGATGAAACGCTGTCTCTACTAAAAATACAAAACATTAGCTGGGTGTGGTGGCACACACCCATAATCCCAGCTACTTAGGAGGCTGAGGCAGGAGAACTGCTTGAATCCTGGAGGCAGTGGTTGCAGTGAGCTGAAACGTGACATTGTACTCCACGTTGGCAACAGAGTGAGACTCTGTCAAAAAAAAAAGAAAAAGAAAAAAGAAAGAGGCACACACCTGTAATCCCAGCATGTTGGGAGGCTGAGGTGTGTGGTTCATGAGGTCAGGAGTTCAAGACCAGCCTGATCTAGATGGTGAAACCCCATCTCTAATAAAAATACAAAAATTAGGCATGGTAGTGGGCACCTGTAATCCCAGCTACTCGGGAGGCTGAGGCAGAGAATTGCTTGAACCCAGGAGGCAGACGTTACAGTGAGCTGAAATAGCGCCACTGCATTCCAGCCTGGGTGACAGAGAAGACAGAAGAAAGAAAGAAAAGAAAGAGAGAGAAAGAGAAAGCAAAAGAAAGGAAGGAAGGAAGGAAAGAAGGAAGGAAGGAGGGAAGGAAGGGTGTCGGACTGAATAGAAGTAATGAACAATTACAATTAAGACATGGTCAGATACTGAAAATGTTTAGTAAATAAAATTAATGAAGTGTGAATTGAGTTAGGGAATAAGACATAAGGAAGGCAGAAGAAGTTTAATATCACCAGGTTTTCTGTCTTCCTGCACCTGGAGGTTTGATACTAATTTTTACTATATGGAGGAAAGGAAGAATGGAAATAGAAAAAAAAAATGAGCAGTTCATTTTTAAAAGTTCAATTGAATGAGGTTGTAGGGTAATTTTAAGTGATGTCTCATTGTTGGATGTTTGGGTTTCCATACAGGATCTGCATCTGGGCTGATCTATACGTTTGAGTAATTCATTTATTATTTTAAACTTATAATTGATGCTCTTATAATTTATGGATTATGAAAAGAGGATCTCAAGCTAACTTCTTTAATTGTTTCTTTATAAAAATTATTTTATTTATTTAATTGGCAATTAAAAATTTTATATACTTATGTACAAAATGATGTTTGAAATACATATTGCAGAATGCCTAAAGAGCTAAGGAAAATATGCATTAAAACATATGCTTATTTTTTGTGTGATTACAGCACTTAAAATTTACACTGTCAATTTTCAAGAATACATCATTAACTATAGTCGCTATGTGGTGCAATAGATTTCTCAAATCTAGTTATCCTATCTAATTGAAATGTTATTTCCTTCGACCAACATCTCCCCAAACTTCCTGCCTTCTCCTAATCACTTCCATTCTACCTCTGCTTTTATGAGTTTAACTGTTTTAGACTTTACACATCAGTGAGATCATGTGGTGATCTTGTCTTTTGGTGCCCAGCTTGGCTTATTTTATTTAATATAATGCTATCCATGTTCATCAGTGTGATCACAAATGACAGAATTGTTTCTATTTTCCAAAGCTGAAGAGTGTTGTAATAGAGATATAAACCACATTTTCTCCATCCATTCATCCATCTATAGACACTTAGGCTTATTTTATATCTTGGCTATTGAGAATAACGCTGCAGTAACAACAGAAGTTTCTATGTCTTTTCAACACACTGACTTAATTTTTAAAATATATACTGAATATTTGGACTGCTAGATCACTTGTTACTTCTATCTCAATTTTTTGCGGAGTTCCCTATTGTTTCTCGTTGTGACTGTACTAATTTCTGTTTTCATCAACACTATACTAGAGTTCTTTTTCTCAACATCCTTTCCAACACTTGCTATCTTTTCTTTTGTTTTTTCTTGATAATTATTCTATTGTTATTATTCTAACAGGTGTGAGGCAACATCTCATTGTGGTTTAATCTCCCTGTAATCAGATATTGAGCATTTTGTACATACCTGTTGTGCATTTCTGCATCTTCCTTTGAAAAATGTCTATTTTGGTCCTTGGCTCATTTTGTAATATTTGTTTTCTTCCTATTGAATTGTGTTTTTTACATATTTTGAATATTAATATCTTACCTGATATATGGATTCAAATATTTACTCCTTAACTGTTGGTTATTTCTTCACGTCGTTGTTTCCTTGCCTTTGCAAAAGCTTTTTAGTTTGATGTAATCTCATTTCTTACTTTTGCTACTGTTGACCATGTTTTTTTTTTTTTTTTTTTTTTTTTTGAGACGGAGTTTCGCTCTTGTTACCCAGGCTGGAGTGCAATGGCGTGATCTCGGCTCACCGCAACCTCCGCCTCCTGGGTTCAGGCAATTCTCCTGCCTCAGCCTCCTGAATAGCTGGGATTACAGGCACGCGCCACCATGCCCAGCTAATTTTTTCGTATTTTTAGTAGAGACGGTGTTTCACCTTGTTGCCAGGATGGTCTCGATCTCTTGACCTCGTGATCCACTCGCCTCGGCCTCCAAAAGTGCTGGGATTACAGGCGTGAGCCACCGCGCCCGGCCTTGTTGACCATGTTTTTAGTGTCATATCCAAAAATCATTGTCTATACCAATGTCATTAAGCTTTCCCATGTTTTTGTGTAGTAGTTTCATAGTTTCAGTTATTAGGCTTATGTGTTTAATCTATTTGGAGTTGATTTTTATATATGGTGACATATAAGGGCCCAATTTCATTTTTCTGCTCATGAATATTTAATTTTTCCAACATCATTTGTTGAAGACAATGTCCTTAGCTATTGTGTGTTCTTAAACTTTGTCAAAAATAAATTTACTGTAAATAACTGGGTTTATATCTGGGCTTTTTGTCCTGTTCCTTTGTTCTCTGTTTTTAATGTTACATTCTAGTTTGATTACTATAACTTTGTCGTATGTTCTAAAGTCAGGTTGTGTGATGCCTCCAGTTTTGTTCTTTATTCAAGAGTGCTTTGGGTATTTGAATTTTTTGGTAATTCCATATGAATTTGAAGATTGATTTTTTATTTCTGCAAAAATTGGCATTGGAGGTTTAATAGGAATTTTGTTGAATTCATAGATTTATTGGGTATAGACATTTTAATAATATTAATATTTCCAATTCATGAACACAGGATAGCTTTCCATTTTTGTGACTCTCACTCAGTTTCTTCTGTCAATGTTTTATAGTTATGGGTATATACATCTTTAACTTTTTTAACTTTACATTTATACTTTATTATTTTGTGGAAATTTTGTAGCCATTATAAATGAGATTTTCATCATCCATTTTTAGTTTGTTATTTGAAAAATGATACCCATTTTTGCATGTTGTTTTTGCATCCTTCAACTTTACTGCATATGAGTATTAGTTCTAACAGAGTTTTGTGGCACATTTAGTGTTTTCTTAATATATGCAGTATAGTGTCATTCATAAACAGGACATATTAAATTCTTCCTCTCCTATTTTGATGCCTTTAATATCTCTCTGTTGTCTAATTTCTGTGACTAGGACTTCTAGTACCATGTTGAATAGAAGTGGTGGAAGTGGGTCTGTGTGTTTGTCACATGTGGCATTTATTGTGTTGTTAACCTGTTTAGGTTAATTGTCTATCCTATTTCTCCACATATACATTCAGTCCATCTATGTTAGTTTACTAAGCATGGAAATAAGTTAAACAGAGCTTCAGAACCCAGGCGGAGTGGACACTCCACAAGCCGACCAGTGCACTCTTTGCAAAGCTTCACATTCCTCTTCCAACATCCACATTGCTTTTAAAACGAACATTTTTGTCTCCTCTTCTAAGAAGCCTCTATTAACTCACGTCCTGGCATTTTCTCATCTTTTCTGAGTTCCTTAAGCATCTTGTCTGTGTTCTCTTAAGAAGCTCTTCATCAACTGTCACGTAATGTAATTTAATGATTTAGGAGTAGGGCTCTGGATTCTGAACACTTGAACTTCCATTCCTACTGCCCAGTTACTGTAAACTCTGTTTTCTTTTCACAGGATTACGTTCAATTACTTAAGTTACTTATCAGTACATGTTTCCTTTTCCATATAAAACAGGTTAGTATGCATTTCACATGGAACTTTTGTGAAATTTCAGTAATGCACTTGACCTCATGGGGGTTCAACATATATTAACTACCATTAGTGAAAGTATGTCATGGTTTACTACATGGAATGTGGTGTAAAAATAGGATTTGAACCCTAATTCGTGTTATTTAGGGTAACCTATTAAATGACTTACAAAATTGATAAAATAATAAATATTCTACTGGTTTATTGTGAGGGTCCAGTATACTACTATTTGTAAAGTAATTAGAAGAGAGATTTGTAAATAATGATGATAATTACAATGATAATTGACATTGTTTCATTTTTTAATCACAATAAATACATAGGAGATGTTACCTTCATTAAATGCTATTAGATATTTTTTCTCGTTTTGTAACGTCCATGTGTCTTTCTTGTAACAGTTGGTACATGATTGACATATGAACTCAAATTAACCTGGAAAATGAGTCTGGTGCTTCTAGACCAAAGTTTTGTCCAGTGTCCTGACATGTTTTCTTTAGAAAATTTATTTTGTGTGAAAACTATCCTTATATCTTGATGAACTAGATAACTACCTTTATAGAGTTAACTAAGAAGGGAGAAGATATCTGGCTTTTCCACATACAACCTACTTAAATCATATCTCTTGTATTGAAATAAATGATTTATTACATATATATACATGTACATATATAATATATATTACATATTGTATATAAAATATATAATATTAAAAATAATATATTTAATATGTATTATATTTAAAATATATATACATAGATTTTTTTTTTCCTGGTAAAAACTCAAATTATACTAACGAGTAATACATTAAGTCAGTGTCATATTAATCTACCCTAATAGTTATCAGATATTTTCAGTTCTAAATTTTGGTTTGAAAAAAAAAAAGACCCTAAAGAATTTATCCAATGATTAAGTTGGATGTTAGCTTATTTGTTAAGCAAGCAGATTAAGTACTTTTAAGCATTTTGAGCAGAAAATTGTTAATTATCACAATCGGGTATAGTTTGTGTGTTAAAAATTGCAAATTTAAAGATACAGTGCTTTCACCAAGGAATCTAAATACAGACAAATCTAGTAGGAATAATTTACAGTCTAGACAAGAGAATGCACTGTCCTGGGTGCACACATTTCGGGTAGATCATCATGAGCTTTGAGCAAGAGAAAGAGACATCTGAATACAGTGGACGACCAGGAATTCAGCATTAGGCCCAGTGCTACAGAAAGGAAGAAAAAAACCAACTAAATGGCAACGGATCGCTAAACGCAACCTGGTATGAACTTGACGGGCCAGAGAATGCTATCGCTACAAAGAAGTGAGTGAGTATTTGTTGGGGACGTGGTAAGACAAAATGCATTTTCTAGGGTGCTTCACATTACAGAGCTTTGTCGAAAGCAAGGGCAGAACTCTTTAAGCTGTGCCCATAGTTGAAGGAGTCTTTCTATTTCTGACAGAAGACAGCTCCAAAAAAGAAAACTTTAACCATGTCGAAGCTCTGTTCAAATGTATGCTTCAGAATAGACTGAATAACTTGGTGAATAAAAGAGTTCTCAAATTGAAGGAAAAAGAAAAGAAAAAAGATTACAATACCAAAATTGAAGGCAAGGCCCTCGTCTTGACAGGCTACCTGCTAAAGAACTATGTGGCTGGACAAACACCTATCCAGACCCTCCCTGATATGGATAAAAAGTCTACCAATATAAAAGGTAAGACTGGCTCCTTGGTGGATATCTCTAATTTTTTAGAATCTATTCAACTCTAAAACCCATGCAGTGTCTTCTGAGATTCTCCTGTCCTTCCTTTATGAAACTATCATTTTCACTAAGCCTGTAATTTTTCTTTTGGGGATCACTTTGTCTCTTGTGGGGTGGGAGCCAGCTTCCAATCAGCTAAAAGGCTGAGTCCTTGGGTTCAGACTGTGCATGGAAATAATTAATAGTAGAGGCTTGTAGTAACACCTACTAAAACCTAAACCTAGATTCTGTCATTAGTAAGCTATGCAGCTTCCTGCATGTATCTTAGCTTCTCTTGCTTCCTAATCATCAGTCTTACCACCTATGAAATGGGGACAATTTCGGTACTTTCTCACAAGACTGTGGAAGGCTAGAAACATTGTAATGGCAGGCATCAACATGCCAACAACTCCCAAGGAATTAGCTCTCATCCAGAACTCTCTTCTCTGAGTGCCAGACTCATTTAACTAGCTGCATTTTCGACAATTCTGCTCCAGTGTTTCATTGGATTTATTAAATTAAACATTTTTTCTTCCAACCAAATTGGTTCCAGCTTTAACCCCTTTACATTTTAGTAAAGGAAGCTAAAATATATCAAATTTCTCCCACCAGAAGGCAACTGGTTTCTTTACCAATGAGTAGCAGTAATTAGGAGAATGCCAGACACAAAGATTTATCACTTTGATATCTATATTTCCCTACAAAAATTCAAATTATGCTAAGGAGTAATGATTAACCTGATGTCACATTAATTCACCATGCTAGATTAGTCATCAGATTATTTGCAATTTCAAATTTTGATTGAGGAAAAGATGCTAAAAAAATTAGCATGCTGTATGCAGTCATCCATTTGTTCATTAAGTCATGTATTTTGCAAGCACACTAAGTACTTTTAAACATTTTCAGCAATAAGATGTTAATGAGCACAGAGAAGTGGGTATAGGATGTGTGTTAAAAATGCAAATTCAGAGATACAGTGCTTTCCCCAAGGAAGCGAAATACAGCAAAGAGGAAAGATTGTATAGTCTGGTAGTATTTACAGTCTAGACAAAAGCATGGACTGTCCTGGGAGTGCGCATGTTCAGGTGGATCATCATCATCATGAGCTGTGAGCAAGAGAAAGAGAAATGTGAAAACAGCGGGTGACCAGCAAGTTAGCATTATGCCCAATGATAGAGAAGGGAGAAGAAAAGCCATAAAAAAAAATTTAAGAGGCAATGAATTGCTAAGCACAGTCTGGTATGAGTTTGATGGGTGAGAGAATTCTGTCTGCAGTTACAAGGGAAAAGGTGTGCTATTCATTGGGGACATGGTAAAATAGAATGTATTTTTAGAGGAGTTTCGTATTACAGAGTTATGTTTCAGGTGAGGGCAGAATTATTTAAGCCGTACCTGTGGTTGGAGGAGTCTTTCTATTTCTGACAGAGGACAACCGCAAAAACAAAACACTCAAGATGTTGGAATACCTGGGCAAATATTTTCTTCATGATGTTTTACATTATTTGTCAAAACACAATGTTCTGCTATTAAAGGAAGAGGAAAAGAAAAAATATTATGATGCCAAAGTTGAAGACAAGGCCCTGGTCTTGGTAGACTCTGTGCAAAAGAGCCACGTGGCTCATCAAATATACATCCAAGCCGTTCTCAATACGGACCAAAGGATCACCAGGGCAAAAAGGAAGGCTGCGTCTAATACCATAAATATGTCAAAATTTCCAGAATTTATTCAACTCCACGATCCATGCTGTGTTATCTTTTATTCCCCCATACTTTCGTTTCTAAACTCTCATTTTTAGTAAACATGTCACAGTCCTGTTAGAGACCACCTTATCTTTTGTGGGATGGGTTCAAATTTCCAAATACCTAAAAAGCTGTGTCTTTGTGTTTAGACTGTGCATAGAAATAGTTAACAGGGGAGATGTTCTTAGTAGGAGATACTTAAACGAAACCTTTATTCTGTCACCTGTGAACCATGCAGGTTCACACAAGTTTCTTAACCTCTGTACTCCCTAGTCATCAGTCTTACCACCTGTGAAATGTGGACAGTTCCAGTACTTTCTCACAAGACTGTCTACAGCTAGAAACACTGTAATGCCAGGACCCGCATGTCAACAACTTCCAAGACATGAGCTCTCATTCAGAACTCACTCATCTGAGCTCCAGACTCATTTAGCTCTACAGGCACCTTCAACAATTCTGCTCCAGCGATAGAGTGGATAGAGAAAATGTGGTACATGTACCCCATGGAATACTATGCAACCATAAAAGGAAAGAGAATGTCCTTTGAAGGGTCAAGAATGAAGCTGGAAGCCATCACCCTCAGCAAATTGACCCAGAACAGAAAACCAAACATCCTGTGTTCTCACTTATAGGTGGGAGCTGAACAATGAGAACACACGGACACAGGAAGAGGAACAACACACACCAGGGCCAGTTGGGGGGTGGTGGGGTGGGGAGGGAGAGGGGCCAGTTGGGGGGGGGTGGGGAGGGGAGGTAGAGGGGCCAGTTGGGGGGTGGTGGGGAGGAGAGGGAGAGGGGCCAGTGGGGGGTGGTGGGGAGGGGAGGGAGAGGTTTAGGACAAATATCTGATGCTCTCTACAGCAAACTGTGGGGATCTGTGGGTCAGCGGCTCTCCAGCATCCTTGGCAGTCACCTCTTCACCGTCACCTGAAAACCTGAAGGCAGATTCTGTTTGCAAGATCCACATGGAAAAGGACCTCATTGCTTTCTGCTCTTCAACACCAAGTATGTGTCTTTTAGCAACAGTCAAAAATTTGGGTACTGAGGCCACCTTTGAATGATTCTACAAAATCAGGAAAGGCTCTATGCAACAATGATCTGAGAGAATGGTGTGTGCTCTCTACATATTTTACATGATCTTCTATGTGCTGTGAGAACAGATGCCTTCACCCTCCCACACACACATTTTTTAAAAAATGTACTTTTATTATGAGTGTTACACTACAGTCAAAGGCATGACATATATTAAAGCAACACCATACAAGAAACACCATTCACTGCACACCATTTAAATATAAATGATGGATTCTGTTTTATTATTATTATTATTAAACCCATTTAACATTTTTTTTTTTTTTTTGAGACGGAGTTTCGTTCTTGTTACCCAGGCTGGAGTGCAATGGCACGATCTCGGCTCACCGCAACCTCCACCTCCTGGGTTCAGGCAATTCTCCTGCCTCAGCCTCCTGAGTAGCTGGGACTACAGGCACGCGCCACCATGCCCAGCTAATTTTTTGTATTTTTAGTAGAGACGGAGTTTCATCATGTTGACCAGGATGGTCTCGATCTGTTGACCTCATGATCCACGTGCCTCGGCCTCCCAAAGTGCTGGGATTACAGGCGTGAGCCACCGCGCCCAGCCCCATTTAACATTTTGAATAGAGGTTTTATGGATCCCATTACTGGCTGTCTTTCCCAAATAATCAACTTCAAGCCCTCTTCTACACCTATCCCACCTGAGCCGACAAACAGCAGTGTTATTGCATGTCCAGATAAAAATGAGAATGGCCTTTAAAAAAAGTAGAAAATGTTAGGGTGGGGCTAATTAGGTCTAATTACAGGAAACAGTGGTTTGTATTCCACCTCTAGGTAGTCATCCTAAGGTGACTCTTTTTACTCTCTCCAGTTTGCAAATTTTTAAGCCTTAGTTTTAAACCACTTTTTTGAGGCATAACTGACATACAAAAACTGTACATATTTAATGCATGCAACTTAATAAGTTTGGAGGTAAGTACAGACCCCTAAAATCATCACCAAAATCTATGTCATAAACACCTCTCTCTCCTCCAAAAGATCCCTCCAGCTCTCTACTTACTATTATATTCTGCAAGGGTATGATAAGGTTAATTTACATAAGATCTACTCTTTGCAAATGTTTACGTATATAATACAGTAGTATTTACTATTGGCACCATATTATACAGTATATTTCTATGATGTTTTAATCTTCCGTAACTTAGAGTTTTGCCGTGTTCATCTGTTTTGTTTATTATGTGGGGAAATACAGCACGGTGCAATCAGTAAACAGTCTGGAGCCCAACAGCATTTTTTTGTTGCTTGCTCACTGTGTGAACATGAAAGTTCATTCATCCTTCTCTGCTTCTGTTCTTTCCTTTGTAAAGTGGAAAAATTCCAGTTATTTCTCAAGTCCCCTTTTCCAAGCAAAGTGAGTGACAATGTGGTCCATAGTAAAAAGTCAGTTCCAGAAATCAAAATGCAATCACTGTGCAATCTCTGGTTATGCTTACAAGCTGTCCTCTCTGTTCAACCTCTGCCAGCTTTTCTGTCTCCTCTGTGTGAAACCTAAGTAAATGTTAGGTTATGAGGATTTCCGTAAATCTATCAAGTAAACTGCCAAGCTATGAAAAAACATATAAACGAAAACAGTAAAAGGCATAGCCCAACTGTAATCCCAGCACTTTGGGAGGCCGAGGCGGGTGAATCACGAGGTCAAGAGATCGAGACCGTCCTGGTCACCACGGTGAAACCCCGTCTCTACTAAAAGTACACGAAATTAGCTGGGCAAGGTGGCGTGCCTGTAATCCCAGCTACTCAGGAGGCTGAGGCAGGAGAATTGCCTGAACCCAGGAGGTGGAGGTTGCTGTGAGCCGAGATCGCGCCATTGCACTCCAGCCTGGGTAACGAGAGCAAAACTCCGTCTCAAAAAAAAAAAAAAAAAAAAAAAAAAAAAAGGCATAGCCCGAGGCATAGCATTCTGTATCATCACAGATAATGCGTCCTGGAGAGACAGCATAAGGGGCCCCATCTTCACCATGGAACTCATCACATGCTTCCAGAAGTATTCTTGGTGCTGCCACCTAGTGGAAGTATTTCAGAAGGTAAGCTTCCATTTCCTTTTCTTGGCATTCACTTATTTGCTCAGAAAGAATTTATAATGATTCACTACTCAAAAAAAAAAAAAAAAAAAATGACACACTTTTTCAGGCAAGCAAAAGTAGAATGACAACCGATTTCTGTTATTCAGGTGTTTAAAATCTGGTTTAGAGAAAGAAAATGTTAATATAACCCAGAAGAAGAGCAAAGTAAAATAAAATAATGTCAACTGTAAGCTTCATGTTATGGGCTATAAGTTATTACAATTCAAAGAATACAAAACATGTTGAAATAATCCGATTACTTAATTTACTAAATGAATAAAAACTATATGGAGGTGATGGGCTCCATCCTGATGACAAAAGGGTAAATGAGGCTTGCATGGCTTAACACTACTAGGACTCAGACTTTTGTGAGAGATATGGATACTGGAAATACGGGTTAACAAAAAAATGTGTGATTACAGATTGTGGTGGGATTCATAAAGGCATGTGAGAGGGAATAAAAGGAAGTCAGTCTTTCAATGGAAAAGGGCAGAAGGGAATGTCCCTTTTCCCTATTACCTGTCCTTCCTACTTTATTTTCTCCACCCAATAAGCATATATTAATAGTTTATTTATGTGACTGTTTTTTACCTATATTTACTCACTAACATGCAAACTTCAGGATGGCAGAATTTGCTCAGCGCCTCTATATGCCTGACATATAGCAGATATTCAATTAATATTTATTGAATAAATAGATGCATAAATGAATAGACAGATGTTCCTTCTTTTCTAAGGGAAAATAGAATTGGTATTAACACAGGAAAGTGTGGTTGTTTCTAAATTAAAAAGTTTAGAAACCAGTAAAACTCTTGTGGGAAAAGAAAGATACATCACTGGTGTTTAAAGAAGATTGTAGCATAAATTGAGACAGGGTTTCTACGAATAGAGAACTAGGAAGTTAGGTCTTTTCGGATGATTAGGAATTAGACATTGTACTTTTGAGGATATTCCTGGAAAAAGACTAGAAATGCTGGATTTAGGGTAGGCAGGATCTCACTGATCAGTCCATGCATAAGAAGTTACCATGGTGGTGTGGGCATGAAAGCTGTTTGGTGTTCCGGCCTTAAAACAAGATTCTGGGATTAATTCTCCTTTAAACTGAAGAATCAGCCTTGGTGGGGATTGAAAGTAGTAAGTCTTCCGTACCCAGTTATCGCGAGCATATCCCAAGGGATGTTTAATTGGTTGTCACATCTGTAGGTCAGAAATGGAAAACAGAGAAAATGGAGGTTGAAAAGCCTTGACCAGGCTTGTGGTGTTTATTTTGACGTGAAGTGTACAGTCTGACATGGGGTGTCAATCGTAAGAGGTAGGGTACCAGTGTTCAGGAGTGGCACTATCCAAGGGCTTGGTGCTAACATCCCCAGTCTGCCTTCACTCCAGACGTTTCCTAGCTCATGGTGCAAGATGCTGCCTGAGAGTTCAAAACCCTCATATCTCATCTACTGTTTTTTCTTTTAGGTACAGAAATCATTTGAAATTCCAAGGGTTAAAGCCCAGATGCTCACCATAGAACAACTGTCCATGACAAGAGCTTTCTACCTCTTTCCTGGCCATTGAGAATTGTAAGTATTGGTAGTCGTTGGGGGTGAAATAAATGAAAGCGTTATATTGGCGGTGAAGTTCAATGGCCAATGACAGCTGACTACTTGGATGGTCAAGTTGGTGTTCTTTATTGATGTAGACTGGTGAGTATTTATTATTTATTTGCTTTTTTTATTCTACTTATATGCCTTTAGTTTCCCCCAACTATATAACCAGTCAAGGAGGTAAGAAAAATTGCAGCAAAATGTAATAAACAATTAAAGTCTTAGGTTAGTAATTATTAAAATAGTCATTTACTAATGTTACCATTATGAATTATATTCATTTATCTCTCATACTCTTCATCTCTTTGTCTCTCTCTCCCACCTGCCAAACTTAATTACCAAACATTGCATCGGACCTTGAACAAAACAGAGTAAACACAGGAGCTAGCTATGGAGAAAGCAGGGCTTTGGTCCTCTGAGTGCGCATATCACATTATCGTTGTATGACTTTCTCCTTAGTTTAGCTAAAGATGGGGTCCTTGTCACACGATCAGGAAAAATTAGACTCGCAGACAATCTGAAAGGCTAGGAGGGCACGGTTTACTGTGTGAAAAGGAAAAAAAATGGGAAACGGAATCTTCACAGAGCCTCCCAAAGTACTGGGATTACAGGTGTGAGCCACCATGCCCAGCATCCTTTCTAATTTGTTGACCCACTGGTCATTCAGAAACATATTGTTTAATTTCCATGTGTTTGTATAGTTTTCAAAATTTGTCTTGTTGTTGATTTCTAGTTTTATTTTACTGTGCTCAGAGGAGATGCATAATTTTATTTCAATTTTTTTTTAATGTTTAAAACTTGTTTGGTTGGCCTATTCTTGAGAATGATCCTTGTGCTTAGGAGATCAATGTGTGTCCTTCAGTCAATGAATGAAGTGTTTTGTAGGTATAGCAGTAGCTCTATAGTGCAGGTGATGTCTAGTATTTTTCGTTGCTGAGCTTCTGTCTGAGAGATCTGTCGAGTGCTGGAAGTAGGGTGTTGAAGTCTCCAGCTATTTTTGTGTGAAGTCTGTCTCTGTCTTTAGCTCCAATAACACTTGCTTTCTATACCCAGGTGCTAGCGTGTTGAGTACATATGTATTTATAATCATTATACCCTGTTGCAGGGCTGACCTCTTTATCATTATATAATGACTTTTTTGTGTTTCCTTACAGTTTTTGTATTGAAATCTATTTTTTCTGACATAAACATAGCTGCTCCTGTTCCTTTAGGTTTCCATTGGCATGAAATATATATTTTCATCCTCTTTATTTTCAGACTATGCAAAGTATGTTTCTTGTAGGCAACAGATCGCTGAGTCTCATTTTTTCATACATTCAGCCATTGTATGTCTTTATGTGAAAGAATTTTTCCTTGGCAACAAACAAGGCTGAGACAGATGTTTCTGGAGTCTAAGACACACATAATGCTTTCTGTCAAAAACTCTGATTAGTCTTACATACAGTTTAACTTGTTTGGGATATTCAGTATTCTATAAATAGCTCTGTATTTTTGCATTTATAGCCACACATTTTTTATAAAGAACAAAACCCTAAATTAAAGAGTGGAACATGGCATACTTAAAAAGTTTTCATGATGGAATTAATTTCCACAAAATCATTTTACAAATGTTGAATGTAATTAAGGGAAAAAATGATGCAAAGATTAAAATGAGACAAGTAAAAAAATGTATTTTGTAACATTTGGCCTTTTTTTCTGAATTGATTCAGAGTAACTTTAATAAAAACAAATATTTTTTAGTTAAATTTTGTGTACTATGGGAGAAATATGGAAAATTGGATATGTTTAAATTTATGTAAGTGCTCTTTAAAAAGAGTGCAGTGTCACATACTCTTTAAATTCAATAAAATAGGTCCAATAATATTGAATATTTCAAACAATAAAGGTGCAAAATAAACAAAGTAATGGTCACATGTTTGGGGACACGTATGCAACGCATCTGATATGTGCCATTATTTTCACTAACAGATTTCTTAGAAAAACTAGTTCTTAGGGAAAGTAACCTAGTCTCATCTGGTTATTGACTTTCTTGAAAGGCATAAAAAGTAGAATTTATGTTTTAGCTGCCCAAATATTTTCAAAAGGTGTCAGTCCTTTCTTCATGCAAAAAAGAAATCAAGTAATACAATTTCTGTGGTTATACTCTGAGTACTCCTTTGATTCCTCTGAATTATTCTAGTCAATTACTAATAATAGTGTTTTCTAGGCTGTTTAAATCACTTTAACATCAAAGACTTAATGGGTGTCTAGTATTATTATAAGTATCTTTGACCCTTCACAAGAACCATGACACTATATAGAACTCTATAAAAACGGAGTTCCTGTTTCATATATACAATTTTCTACTTACCTGTCTCCTGTATATCCAATAGGTAGCTCAAATTTAAGAAACTTAAAGTAAAATTTCTAATTTCTCATTACTTTTTCTTTCTCTGAGTCCTTCCAAAACAAGCTTATTAATTCCGTTCTTTCCCAGTTTGATGATGGTACCACTATCTGCTGAGTTGCTTGAGTAAAACTAAATAAAATAATCACATACGCAGCAAAACTTTGCATTTGTTCTCTGCTCTGGCTAAACGTATGTCTTCTACTTCCCTACTGAGACATTTTCCCCAGTTATCCTCTGTCTTATTACCCACCATATATTTTTTAGAACTTAACTGAAAGAAGAGATCTAAATTTAGCTGTTAAGGAAGTTAAAATGGCATATAAAGCCTGATGCATAGTCTGGAGGATTGTTTAATTTCGTTGCGGAAATACAGTCTAATATGCAAATTCCTTGTTATCTCTTTTCCTTTTTGTATTTGTGACTGTGTGCCATGACTAGGCTAGACGCAGGATATATGATGCACGATTAAAGCAGACATGGCTAGTAAACCTTACGGTGTTTACCGTCAGCCCATAAAGGCAGATATTAATTGGGAGAAAAAATTGCAGGCACAATGTAGCCAGAATAAATACTGATTGTCCACCATGACAGAGCCTTTAAAGAAACATTTATGCTCATGTTTGAAAAGTAAAGGAGTGCAGGTCAAAGGTAAAAGAGGAACATTCCAGACAGGAGAAGCAGTGAGTATAGGGAACTTACAGACTAAACAGAGCTTTGGAGAGAGGCTTAGTAGCTGGAACACAGCATCAGGAGAGATGCCGCTGGGGAAGCTGGGGAGCAAGGGAGGGACCAGAATATCTGCGGCCTTATGTACTGCTTCATACTAATAGTAACAAGAAATTCTAAGGCCGGGCGCGGTGGCTCAAGCCTGTAATCCCAGCACTTTGGGAGGCCGAGGTGGGTGAATCACGAGGTCAAGAGATCGAGACCATCCTGGTCAACATGGTGAAATCCCATCTCTACTAAAAATACAAAAAAATTAGCTGGGCATGGTGGTGTGTGCCTGTAATCCCAGCTGCTCAGGAGGCTGAGGCAGGAGAATTGCCTGAACCCAGGAGGCAGAGGTTGCCGTGAGCCGAGATGGTGCCATTGCACTCCAGCCTGGGTAATAAGAGCGAAACTCTGACTCAAAAAAAAAAAAAAAAAAAAAAAGAAATTCTAGTGGGCTTTAAGCAATGAAGTGATAAAATTCTCATTTTTAAAGAATCACTCTGGGAGATAGAGGGGATAGGTTAAGTGCTAGCACAATATTGCAAACCATGGGTGATAATAATAGTCCCAAAACAACCGAGTAATAAATGTTAACTGCATATTATTATTATTAATTTTATTTCCATTTTGCTCACAGTGTCATAGTATAAGACATAGAGATATAGGTAGAGAATAGAGGACATAGTATAGAGAATAGAGAATGGTTGGGACACAAACTTTACATAAAAAGTTTACAGCATATTTGCCTGTAACTTCCATATACTCCACAACATTCGGCTTATAAAATTATCTAACATATGTGTCATGAGTCCCTCTGGACCGCAGAAATTTCACTAGTTCACCAGAGGGGAGATTATTAATATTAGTGAGAAATAAATTTGAAAAATTTTCAGAAACATGTTAAGGGAATATTATTGACTTTGCACAAACACCTGTCACTCTAGGATGAAGAACACATTCCTATTACCCTTCTCCTTTCGTATAAACAGATAAAGCGTCTTGCAAGTTCCAGCATTTGTGTGAGTCTTCATTTCCCCCAGGTTCTAAATTACTCTGAGATGTCACTGATTCATTTCAAGCTTGGAACTAGGGTTCATTCCCACTGATTTGGCCAATTGTTCACCTAACCTGTTTTCTGTAACATATCTTAGCAAAACTAGGGGTACAAGCACAAAAAATGTCCCCCCACACATATTTTTCTTCTTTTTCTTTTTTTTTTTTTTTAATGGATTAGAGGTTTCAGTGGGACGGGAGAATCACAAGGAATCAGGTGTTCAGAGGAATGTATTGAGCAGAGGTGAGGAACTAGGATGTTGAAAAGTAAAAAAAGGAGAGAAGGAGAGGAAGAAAAAGAGGGAGAGAGAACAGGAATATTGCTTCATTCTAAAAATGGGTATTAATAATGGCCGATCAATATTTTGTGTATTTAAAATGGAGAACTCTATAAATATTTATTGAGTTTACTTGTTCCGGACCTGAGTTGAAGTCCTGGATATCCTTATTAATTTTCTGTCTCGTTGAGTCTAAATCTCATTATGGGTCTTATGTATCTGGGTATTAAGATCTCTTACTGTTGCATTGATCCTTTTACCACTGTATCTTTGTTGCTTTGAAATCTATTTTATCAAATGTGAGAACTGCAACTCCTGCTTTTTGTTTATTTATTTATTTTTGCTCTCCATTTGGTTGGTAACTTTTTCTCCAACCCTTTGTTTTGAGTCTTTGTGTATCTTTGGATATACCATTAGGTTTTGGCTGTATCTTTTGATTGGGGGATTTAGTTGATTTAAATTTAGGGTTACTGCCATTTGATGTTAACTGGCTATTTTATCCATTCGTTGATGTAAATTCTTCTTTATGTTGATGCTCTTTACTTTTTGGTATATTTTTAGAAAGGCTAATACTGGTTGTTCCTTTCTATGTATAATGCTTCTTTCAGAAGTTCTTGTAAAGCAGGCCTGGTGGTAATCAAATCTCTAAGTACTTGCTTGTTCATAAAAGATTTTATTTTTCCTTCAATTGTGAAGCTTAGTTTGGCAGGATATGAGATTCTGGGCTGAAAGTTCTGTTCTTTAAGTATGTTGAATATTGGCCCCCACTCTCTTCTGGCTTGTAGGGTTTCCACTGAGAGATCTGCTGTGAGTCTAATAGGCTTCCCTTTATGGGTAACCTGGCCTTTCTCTCTGGCTGCCCTTAGTATTTTCTCCTTCATTTCGATCCTGGTGAATCTAATGATTATGTGCCTTGGGGTTGCTCTTCTTGAGGAATATCTTTGTGGTGTTCTCTGTATTACCTGGGGTTGAATAGTGTCCTGCTTTGCTAGATTGGGAAAATTTTCCTGGATAATATCCTGAAAAGTATTTTCCAGCTTGGATTCATTCTCTCCATCACATTAAGGTACACCTATCAAACGTAGATTGGGTCTTTTTACATAGTCCCATATTTCTTGG